ATACAGTCGACTCTCTCTTAACGGACACCTCTATAAGACGGACACCTCTCTAAGACGGACACTTAGAGTTGGTCTCTGCCTTTCTTTACTCCCTTTATTTGACTCTCAAATAAAGACGGACAACCCTCTAAGACGGACACTTAGCAGGGGCACCCAACGACTGTTTTCTGTAAAATGTCTGTTCGGAGAAGCAAAAATTGCCTAGAATTTTCTATTGCTTGAGGAAGGCTAAAAATTTCTTAACGACCGTTCCATTCATGTACACAATTTTCGAAGCTTATCTAAGAAATTCCCTACGATTTTCTGAAGTTTCACTTTTCCCAATTCACTCCCCAGGTTAGGTTATTTTTCGTAGATAAAGGAAATCTAAAATTTTCGGAATCGAAAATGTAATGCAGAAAGGAATTAGAAAAACTATCACTTTCGGAAAACTTTAAATTGCTGCTAAAATTCTCGGGAAAATAATACTGAAGCCCTCGTAACTTCGAAAAGACTCAAGTTACCCTAGGATGACCGAACAGATATAAATTTCTTAGCGCCACTTAGAATACATTTCTAGAGATCTAAAAGTACTCTGGATAGCCTAAAAAGTGTTTTCAAAGTAATTAGGGGGAAATCGTCGTTGGGTGCCCCTGACTTAGTGCCGGTCCCAAAGGTGTCCTTCTTAGAGAGAGTTGACTGTATTAATGATGTCCTTTCTCTTTGACAATTTCGTCTGAAAACTACTAGCATGATCCCCTAGAATTCTTCGACATATTTTCAGCGGCGATTTCCATTCTTTCTGTTAGCGGCGAATTTCATACTCGTATTGTTGCAGACCTATTTCACTTTTGGTGTTCCACAACATTATCCCACACAATCTGAGAAAAAGGTAAATTTCTCTTAAAGAGAAGATGCTTGTATGAAGTCAACCCCCCCCCCCCTTTTCCCCATTCACCCAAACCTTTTCTCTCAATCTTCAGGTAATGTACACAGAGAAAACGTGATTACCTTTACTGTACTTTAATTCAAACAAATCATCATTTGAAATATAATAAAATTGTACGTGAACTAAGCGAAATAAAGAGGCATGGTGTATATGGTATACAAAACACCACCAGCTAATAGATATTTATCGTAATTTAATTCAATCAAATTATAACTTTAAATATATATGAAATTATGAGTGCACTAAGCCAAGTTAACTGAAGGCCTTAATTTTTACCCATCGTATACAAAACACCAACACCTAATATTTACTTTTCGTAAGTTACGTAACAAAAGCCCGGTAGAAACAGGCGATTTTCTCAATATAAACACTATTATTATTATTTGAACAAGAACTTAGAAAATGCTATGACATTGACCTAGCAAACATAAGGAAACACGCTGATAAGCAAATGTGACATAAAAGTCATTACCATTTTGTAGTTGTCGTATTGCAATGTTTTACATGATTCTCAGTTAATATGACCATGACTTTAAAAATTTAAAATCTAAATTTATTTCGGAAAAAAAAAAATAAACTAAAGGTAACTAAGCAATTTTAGAGAATCGTTTAATTGTAACTGTATCTTGTAATTAGATAAATTTTGTTCTCGTGCTAAGTAAACACTTCTATTAATTGAAAAATCGCATGATGCAATAAACAAGTTAATAGTAATTATTTGAACAAGGACTTAGAAAATGCTATGACATTGACCTTGCATACATAAGGAAACACGCTGATAAGCAAATGTGGCATAAAAGTCATCACCATTTTGTAGTTGTCGTATTGCAATGTTTGACATGATTTCCAGTTAATATGGCCATGACTTTGAAAATTTAAAATGTAAAAATTATTTGAAAAAAAAAATACACAAAGGTAACTAAGCAATTTTAGAGAATCGTTTAATTGTAATTATAACTGTAGCTTGTAATTATGAATTTTACTTTTAATTTATCGTTGTTTAACCAAGCGGTTTTAAATGTGTCTCCATCGGCCTTCACCATTTCCCCTTCCTTGAAGTCTCTGGTGGGAACAGTCACAGCTTCGCTTTCATTGCCGGAACCACCCTGTGAGAAAGAAACAGTGAGTTGATTTTAATTTAATTAATTAATGTTAATTTTTAGTATTATTCTGTGTGAATCAAATAGACTACGAATTAGACTAGTAAGGGAGTTTAGCCGGGAAATCGACCTTACAAACACCTATTTTCTGCATATGAATGCTATGGTTCTTGCTTAAAGTTAATTAAATCGATCTTTTCGGTATAAATAGAAGCACTCTGTAAGCTAGGATTTATTACATAGTATATTCAGTTTTATTTCTGGTCAAGCTTGTCACTGTTACACAGAAGGAGATTAAACCAAGTTCAACTTCAACATCTGCACCCCCACACTGTAAAAGCAAGAACATTTCTGGTCAGTGATGAGCCAGGGAACTCATATATGAGGGAGATAAAGGACCAAACAGATGGACGGACTTACGACAGACAAGCCTCGTTTCAGTTTACTCATGACCCTGACATGGTGACCGAGAAAAGTGTACACACGACCAGAGAAGATAATATCTTTCCACGCAGAATTTATGAAATACAGGAAGCTGTGACTTGTTCTTCAACATAGATGGAAATAAGCTGGCACCCAAGACTAGATACAGGGAAACGAGCGATTTTTTCTACAGTCAACCTGTTACTTTTACGGACAAAAATGTGAATTAGACCCTGAAGTGAATGGCTGGACAATGGCTGGCACCAGGAGCATATAACCCCGCGGGGTTATATGCTTCTGCTGGCAACCAAGAAAAACATTATGGATTAAGTAAGTGAACGAGCTGAGCTTACTAGAAAATTACTTAGGACGCTGCACTAGCATTTCCGAGACACAAGACTGCACTTGACACAATTACTGGCTACATACATAGATAGGGAAACTTGTAAAACGGGCATTAACTTTAGACGATTATGCACTGTTTACTACATATTGCCGAAGGAGTGAATACAATAAATTTTATTATCTCCTAAAAATACAACTTTTATGTTGGCTGCAGATCTCCCTTGCCACTAAAGAGCTGGTAACAATATCAGTTTTTAGTAAAATCCAACTAGTGGTCTATTATCAATGCTGCGTTCTGATTGGTTGAGCGACTACTAGCGCTGGCTTTGAAAACCAAAACAACGGCAGCTGACTCGTGTTTTGCTTGCTAAAGTTGTCTTGTCTGGATATTTTTTACCAACTAGTTGAATTTTACTACAACAAAAATCCCTTGGACCTCATGGGCTATTCACTCAGAGGCCATTCGAGCTCGAGGAATAATGGTTAAATATTTTAACATAAATGTTATATGTATAGTAAAAACCCGCGAGTAAGAACCTACATTTTCTGGAGTTGGCCTAAACAGGTTCTTAAATGGTAGTTAACACAATTTTAGGCTATTTAGGTTCTTAAATGGGTTCTCATTTCTGTAAATAAATAAATAAATAAATAAATAAAAATACAGTAAGTTTTGGGCAGAAAAACACAAAAGTTTCCTGGCACCAATCAGAAGTCAGAACGGCGGCGACCGTTTGGAACTGGTCTGGTAAGACATTGTCCCCAGGGGCTCTTCTCACCGTTCTTTACTTTTCTTCGTGCCATATTTTTCCGCCCGTTTAGACTTTCCCTCGGCCCCACTATCTGCCCCTGTGTCTCCGAGGATGCACCAAGCACTGCTCCCATATGTTTTCTTTCTTTTTTTGCTTGACTTTCTCTTCATTGTTGTAAATGAAAACGCCCATTCAATAAGTTCACTTTTCATAGACATCAACAGAAAATGTGAATAAGGCACCATTGAAAAAAACGACCGAGGAAGCAAGGGTGGCGTAGTGGTGAGAACACTCGCCTGCCGGTAATGTGGCCCGGGCTTTAAATCCAGTTGTCGACGCCATATGTGAGTGGTTCTCTGCTGTTTTTTCCCGATTTTCCCCTCTCCTTAAACAACGACACTAAACATTCAGTCTGGAAAGCATGGCACTTTTGAACGAGTTTTTAATGGGAAAGCGCTTGATTCCCATAGAGGTTCAAGTTATCTTTTCTTGACCTCAGGTGGTTACTTGCCTCTACTTATTTGGGATAACGCTTAATGGGGCTTGTGGGTCATCTCTAGCGCTTCGCTTTCTACTTCTGAGTTAATTTCCTGTTCTATCACTAATTACGAATGAGATTGTTTAACAGGCTTTTAAAAAGTAACAACAAATCATTGTCTTTATATTTACCCTAAGGTATCTGGGCGTCCCTCTTCATGCATATGATTCGCAGTTTTTACATTTGGCAACACCTACATATCGGAAAGGGAAGTAAAGTCACTGATTACACCTTAAGGCACCAATTACCTAAAAAGTTGCGTCCTGGTCAGCCAGCCTAAGATTTAAGCTCGGCTTCCTAGTCAAATCCTTTTAAAAAGACGATTGCGATTGCATGAAGAGAGTTCCAGTGGGTCAAAGCTGTCAGTATTTTAGGTAGCTTTAAACGCAGGCGCCCGCATGCAAGAGTATATTTTAGCTCCGCCGGAAATTTCAAACCGGCTGAAAATTTCAGCCAGATCAAACAGGCTAAAAACAACCTTCATGTAATCGCGGTGAAATTTATGAACTTTGGCATGCGCGGCTTTTTCCAATAAATTTTTTGCCCAATTTTAAACATTGTGCCGGGATGAAATCACCACGTAAATGGCGGGAAAAATTTAAAACTCTGCTCACTAGTTCCAAGCACCATTGGCATATAATACAGGACAGGATTGATTCTGTGTAGACATTTTATGTACGTAACCTCAACATTAACTTAATAGGAATGCCAAAAGACAGATAACTTGATTCACAAGTCTAACATTTGCAGATGGATTGTTCAACTTTTCATCGACAGTTTGATTTCGCAACTGCAAAAATAAAAGGATTTACACTGGCTACAAACAAGATAAAAGCTTCACTGGTAGGACCACGGAAAGAACGATCACGAAGAGTGAAAGGAGAAAAATGCGCTGGTAACGAACGCATTCTAACTGTTCAGTACTTACTTCTGCACTCAAAGTGAGGCCAGTCTTGAAAAATGAAGGCATCGCTGAGCATATGAGCCGTTACTGAAGCTGCCATTAAACTTGCAAATGGCCTCCAAGATGTCTCCTTTGATTTACTGCCAGCCGCGTAATCCGAAATCCCTTTAATGACGATCCACTCAAAGTTGAGGTCGTGAGCTGCAGCAAACAGGCCTTAGAATAGAGATTAGTCGTAAATGAAGTAGTGAAGTAGCTATGAAACATAGAAAACGTAAGAAAAGCCAAGTAAAGTCAGGTTGAAAGGGTTTGTCAGAGATAGCTCATGATAGCTAACAAAATTTGACAATTCGTAATTTATCAGGTTGTAACAAGGCATCGATGAGCACAGGCCGATGAAAGCATTATAATAAATAGTGATCCTGTCTAAACGATCCTGTAGTTTCCATTTAATTAATCTATTCATAGAATAATTCACTGAAACGGAAGGTGTTCTGCTAACAAGGATTTTGATAGCCTGGATTTCATCCGATTACTTCGAGTCGTTATTACTCCCTCAGAAACGTCTGAATCGACTCGCCGTTAATGCCGTCCAGTGACGTCACTACTCCTTTGCTTCAATTCATGCAAAAAGTTAAACACGATTTTCAAGTGGCAAACCAAGAAATATCGTTTCGAAATGTCTGCGTGATACAGTATGGCTTTACTTTTTTCCATCGCAATTCATGTTTAATGTTCAAACTATCAACTGCATGCAGTACTATGAACCGGTTGTAATTCCATAATCAAACTCGGTCGCATTTACGCAATGAAATAACTTCACACACGGAACCCTTAGTTCAAAAACACAACGATTTGCTTTAGTTGAAAAGTTAAGAATTTGTTCATGCTTAGCGTGCGTATATCGAGTTATGGATGCACGCGAGAAGTTTGGAGAGTACGAAAGATGCGTAAGAGTTGCGCCTCGAGCAACTCTAGATTTTTGAGTCCTCTCCAAACTTCCCAAGTGCATCCATAACCCTATAAACGCACAGCTAAAAGCATGAGCAAATTATTTTATAACATAGCTGACAAAAAATGCTTGCTTTTTAATTAACTGCAAAATTCCCGTAACGCGCGACACAGAAAAACAAACGCTTCTATTGGCTGCTTACAAACTGTGAAACACGCCACAATCGTCTAGTTTGAAAGAAAACTCTTTCTGTAAAACTAAGAAAGAAAATTTGCTTATTTATTCGTTAACGATCAATGAAAACTAAGCAGAAACAAAGGTAAAAGAGTCTTAAAGTCCACCTAAAGTTAAAATACTCGTATGTTCGTAAGAAGTCGTTTCCAGTGCTGAAAAGACGTTTATATTTTGCTAGGCGAAATCTAGAAAATTTTCTTTTATTTAGCGAATAACAACATTTACGAACAGTGTCTAGTCATTACGGCTTGTTGAGAAGACCTGGCAGCGGTTGTTTTTGTGAGTAGTAAATTTATGTCTTGTGTAATTTGTCTTTTTATTGCAAGAGAGGTTTTGCTGCTTCAGACGGATTGTTCGGCGATAACAAAAGTGCATACGGTAGTTTTTCGCCATATAGCTTACTTTATAATTAACTTGTTTTGTAAAGGATAAACAATCGTTAAAAACGGAGGATACTTTAAACAAATTGGATATTTCCCGATACAATTGCACGATGACGTCATTTTACTACAACTACAGAATCCTTGAGTTTGTTGTTTTCTTGTGCAAATTAAGGCTATTGTTCTTTAATCCTCAGCGGGATTGACTGAATTGACTGCCGAGCGTTTTATTTAGTTATGGCGACTAACTTGTGCTAAATTTATTGTTCCCTGGTTTTGTTAATATGTTTTTGTGGCTCCAGAACAAAAGTTCCTGTTTGTTTTTCTTTAGTGTGGGTATTAAGGCTGGGGGTTTTGAGTTTGGGTGTGTGGGGTGTTGTCTTCGTGTTGGTAGTGGGATGCCTCCGAAAGCATTATTCGTACGTTGGCCGCCAGATTTCTCCATCACTTAGCATAGGAGCGCGGGCAAGATTGATGTAAATAGGATAAGTCGACTCCCGGTAACTCGAACCCTCTATAACTCGAACCAATTTTCATTTCCTTTTAGAACATTTTCTATATAATTTTACCCTCTATACCTCGAACTCCCGATAACTCGAACTTTTTTCCGTTTCCCTTGAAGGTTTGAATTATCGGGAGTCTACTCTGTACTATTTAGCGCGGTCTTGCCCAAGCGACTGAATAAGACACATACACCATGCTTTCATTATCATCTTTGAGACAAGTCACACAGGTTGTTGTTATGGCCATGCACCTCGCCTTGCCCGCTCTCCACCACACGGCACCTATATCCGGATGGTTTGTTTTTCTCTCTTCCCACCTCATCCTAGCCCATAGTATCTCGAACCTGTATCCTTCATCCGGAAGAGGCCGCCAGATTTCTCCATCACTTAACATAGGACATGTAGGAGCGCGGGCAAGATTGATGTAAGCAGAATACTGACTTAAGTCATCCTGCCTACATACGGTCTAATGGCCAAGGTTACAAAAAGTTCACTCTTGCCAAAAACTCACCTTCACCCTCCTCGTCCATAGCAACTGCTTCTGGGAATCGTTCAATGAGTGCCTTACAATGCTTGGGGCTATCAATTATTTCTACGGGTCCACTCAGAATCGTGCCATGATGTATCTTCACCTCGAGTGCTTCCGGATTTCTTAAAGGTGGTTTCCAGCCATCACCAGCCCTTAATTTCACCTTTAAAAGACCGGACTTCAGTGGAACTTTAACTCCACGTTCTTCAATGCCACCCTCCGTGATTTTGCACGGGCCATATGTAATTAACTTGTCTAACATTACTATGTCTCCAAGTTTTACTTTGTCGTAGTCTAAGCTCCTACAGCAACCCACACAGAACACTGCTTTGGGTCTTAAGACGTTGACAGCGTTCAATACAACAACCATGGATCCCCCTGGAGAGGTGGAACCCCTGTAGCAGCACATTACAGCAATGTTTAACTTCCTTTCATCCTCTCCCATATCTCCGAGGTACACAAAGCCAAGATCTCTATGAAAAGTCTTACAGAAACCAGGGTTCAGATATGACAGACAGCTTAGAAATTCATAATCCTCGACCGTAAGCAACAAAATGTCGACTGGCAGTCGGCATTCATCAAAATGTGTCACATGTTTGGGAAGATCCCGACTCTTAAGCTGATTAATGATGACTTCTGGTGGAACAATGGCAGATCTTTCCGACGCAGTTTCTGTAAAAAAAAAAAAAGCAATGAGTATTGTTGAAATGATTAATGACCATGTTGTCACTAAACAGTCCAAATTTTCTCACAACCCTTACGAATAAGTAATCGCGTTTATCAAAAAGACATGTTTATTAGCTACATTGCGCATGGACGAGTTGACCAATAGGTAAGAAAGATGCTTCACATCTAACGGGTTCAACATTTGGAAGCAAAAAAATGTTACGACGATTTTGTGACAAAGTTAAGTTGAGTTCAGACTCTATTTTCGTTTTGCATGGTTAAAAAAAACCCAGGGACTTATTAAGAGCTGTCAAGATTCGACCTCATGCATCTCCGGTTATGACGAAATTTAAACGGGTTTTTTAATCTCTTCCCAAGATCTTACAACAATGTCGAGAGGGGTGTTAATATTTCTCAAGGGCGCACTTTAATAAACCTTTCTATTTTTTTTTAATTTTTGATGTGGACATGTTTGGGAAAATTTGTCAACTTCGCTAGAAAGAGCGCCTTTACATTAGCAACCTTGCCAAGTTTGAAAGTGATTTGTTGAAAACTAATCAAGATATAGCTTCTTCTTCTTTTACAGACGTTTATATGGTGGGGGGGGGGGGGCGCACGAACTCCCCCCCTCCTCCTACCATGCAAACTTCTGTAAATTTTCACAACTTTGCGGAGCTATACCTTCACTCGTTTACGACGTGTCACTTTAAGACTTGACAATTTTGCTAATTTTAAGGCCTTCTTTCCAGAGGTGTCGACGAATTTTTCCTTAGAGTCATGAAAAAGGTTGAAAAAACCGTGGAAGGGCCTATTGGAGCGTCGCTCTGTTGTTTGACCCTCCCCATTGTATCGTTCTTGCTCTGTAAAGGTCTTGCAAATAAATAAATAAATCCAAATTAATTAGGGGAGTGCGTTCGAAAGGGAGGGGTGATAAGGCAAGAAGGGGGGGGGGGGGAGTAAATGTTTCCACATTAAAAATTGATATTTTACGTCCGTTTTTTTTTTTGTAATGTATTTTAACATGTTTTATTGACAAAGTTTGTCCTTAGAGTAAAAAAAACTCATCAAGAGGGTTCACTTCGAAATAACAATAAATAAGACAATTACATTGAATAGTTACAAACATTAACCACAAAGGACTGCAAAGGACCGCAAACGAATATGCCGAAGAACGTAGGATCTATAAAGACCTGATCAGCAAAAATAAAAAGTAGACATATTCAATTCTGCAAGCAGAATACAGCAATGCTGATCGTACTACAGGAAAATTAACTCTGCAAGACATCATGAACACGACACCGAAAGAACTCAAAACAGAGAGGGATTGTAGCCATAGACAGCTGTTTCGCCATCTTTGGGGCTCGTTAGTATGGCGCAACAACCAGAGAAAGCTCTGATGAAAATATCCGCTCACTCTGATTTAAGCCCTAACCTAGAACTCTCAACACCCACAGAATCACGCCATCAGAGGTTTCTTTGGTTGTTACGCCATACTGAAGAGCCCCAAAGGGGCGAAACAGCTGTCTATGGCTACAATCCCGCTTAATCACATGACCAACTTCTGCAAAAGGCCTATATTTATGTTTGCCAAAAAAGTAACTACCACAATAAGTGGGCTTACCTTTCTTAGGAGTTATGCGCTGTTCTTCACTGTTGTCACGTTGAGTCACATCTTGCTGCTGTAAAGATACAGATACAGCAAATGACTATAGATCATAAGAACTATTAATTATGGATTCTGGAATGCAACTCCAGCCAAGCATCCTTTATCAAATACCAAACAATGATATTAGATTTTCACCGTTTCTGATAAGTAATTGTAATAGGACTTCGTGTCGTACAATTCAGGGAGTAATTGGGCGAGTAATTTCAAATTTCCGATTTGAAACTACGAGCCCAATTACCCCTGCGTTGTACGACACGAAGTCCTATTACCAATTAATTGTGTCAATAACAAAATGCGAGAATCTCAGTCTTGGAATATTTATTAATGTAAATAAAAGTCTCTGGAACAGCTAGTTTCATCCCTTTCTCTTTTCCAGTTGAAGCTGGATCTCTTACCTCAGGGGCGGATCCAGGATTTTTTTTAGGAGGGGGTGCACTCGTCTCTTGCTCTACTTCAACACCAATAAACCACATAGTTTTTTTTTTTTTTGCAGAATACCAGTTGTATTAGAAAGCCGCAGCTTATCTCGGGTGGTGGGGGGGCGGGGGGGTGCGCACCCCCTGCACCCTCTCCCTAGATCCGCCCCTGTACCTGGTCACTATTTTTCATCGATTTTGATTGACATTCTGCTAACAAGGAATTTGAGGAATTTCATTGGCTAGTGGTATTTCCTACTTGATTTTCATTGGTTCTTTAACTGTCCGATTTGACCTGTCCGATTACCATCCCCTGGTAATCGGACAGGTCAAATCAGACTGTTTTTGAGTTACAATAGCAAAATTAAGCTATAAATATGGGCTGTTAAGAACCAATCAGATTCAAGCATTTTGTTATCGACACAATTATAATATCAATAATAAATAAAAATAATATTAATAATAATAATAATAATATTATTATTTTGTGAAATACCCATCAATGTTTGTCCACCCAAACTATCTCAGAAACCATCTCGACCGAAGCTTGTACCGAAAGTTTCTTGGCTGGCGAATGAGCCACTCGCAATCGTGTTTAGGAAAAGCGAATTTAAGAACTAACCTGAGTGAACGGAATCCTGCTATGCTGAGAATCTAAGAGAGCAAACCAATGTTCAAACTGCCTGATGTCAATCGTGAGATCCGCTTTAATGCCTCCTTTGACGCAATGTTGCTGCTTACGCAACTCTGACTCCGACAAAAGGTGCAAGCACTCGCAACCACGCCTGCCATGAGCACGGCACTTGACACCGTCTTCATGAGAACACACAGGACAGCAAACGCACATTTCGTACTTCACGTGCTTCAACCAGAAGAACTCCTCGCAAATATGTCTAAGAAGACATTTCAGTTGCGAATAAATTGTGCGGCTTGTATTCAGATCACGAACATCCTTTCCATCATGAAAAACTATTTCGATAGACGAGGAATGCAAAATAAATACTAAGGAAATTGCACGGTCAGGAAGAATGTGAAACATAGCAAAACTATTGAACAATTCAGGATTTATCTCGCTCTTCCATTCTTCTTGACACAACCGATAAAACTGCAGAACAAGCCGCGAGAACAAGCCCTGTGGAACTCTGCCTGATTCAAACGCCACAAAAAGTGAAGGGGTCCGTACACAATCAAGGTGCTTAAGGAGATCATCTGTTGGGGGAGACATTAACATGGATGGTACAAGGTACTTCTGAGTGGTCCCGTCTGAGGGCCATGCACAAAGGAGGCTAAATTTCTCCATTATAGCAATGAGGCTCTCGAAGGTTTCTCGATTATCAGACAAGGGTCCCCAAGCATGATTTAAAAAGTTTTTGTCTAAGATTCCAGTCTTTTCAAAATTACGCCATAATCTCGCAACTCCTTTGTCCGTTTGCTTGAAATGTCTAACAGTAATCACCTCCTTGAAGATGTCAATGAGCCACTGTGGGCTCAAAATAACCATTTTTTCCAAATTTGGTGTTTCACTAAAATGAATCAAAATTCTCTGGTCGTGTAAAAAGTTAAGCAGTGTTCGAAACTGTTCATCGTCATCAATTCCACACTCGTGAGAGGCAATCTGTCTGGCGTGCTCGATGGGTATCCAATTATAGCCTTCCCTGCTTAATAGACGGAGAACCTTTTCATACTTCAACCACTTTAAAGGAATTGCCTCCTCCATCTGTGGAAGCTCTTTGGCAAGAGAAAGTACTGCTTCTCTCAGATTTTTCACGTCTTGGCACTCTTCATCACTGCCTGACTTTGTGTTGTCTACTACAAAGACGTCTTTTAAAAGATCACCATAAACATTGTCTCTTAAGGTGCCAAAGATTTTTTCGGCAAGTGTTTTTGGATTAGCCTTGTTTTTGTAAGGCTTGTCAGCATGCGTACACGCCAAGAATACTGCAGGCAACATTTCAGATGACAGAGTTTCCTGACGGTTAGTGTTTGGGCTAACCAAAGAATAAACTGATGTCATCCAAAAATCAAGATAGTCGAGATTTGTTTTTTTGCAGTGAGTGTCTATTTTATTCTCATACATGCCTTTTTGCGTAGGAGCAGTGGCTTTCTGGTCTGGATCACGACTTAGATCACATGCTAAAATGTAGATGGCTTGTTTGGTCAGAAAAATTGGATGTGTGGCGTAGTAAACAGACTGTCCTCCAAAATCCCAAATGATTGAATATATGTTGTCTTCGTCTTCAAACTCTTGGCTATGTTCAAGCAAATTTTGAACCAATGCTGCTATGTTTTCTGGTAATTCTGGTACAGAAAGATGCTCTTTGGAGTCCTGAAATGATGGATCGCTCCCGCTCTGTTCTGTAACTGATGAACTGGTTTGGGCTTTTTCAGATACATTGGAGCAGTGAAGTGACAGCTCGGTTCTGCTACTGCTCAGATCTCCTGTACGCAATGAATAGGGTTTGACCTTCTCGACCACTTTGGAGTCTTGAAGTGAAGACTCGATCCAGCTACTACTAGATTCCCCAGAACGTTCAGTAGGCAATGAATTCGCTTCCATTTGCTCGACTACTAAGCGGTCTCCTTCCCTTAAGCTTTCAAATATCTTTTGGGCTACCTGGTGGTCTAACAAAAACGTTGGCTCTGATTCGGCATCTTCTCTTTTCTGACCTGTCCTCCAGACGTCTGTCGAGACTTTAAAATAGGACGGATCTGTCTCTATCCCTTCCGTGCTTCCTTCATTTCGATTGAACAATTCCCCTTTTAGCGACCTCTTCAGACTGGTTTTTCCTGTCCGTGCCTGGCCAATTATCATGACGGGAACTCTTCTTGCGTAACCTTCTCCTTCCAAAAGGGCTTTTCTGTAGGCTTCAATAGCTAGCCTTCCTCGGGCAAGAATCTCTGACGGAGCTAATAATGTAAAATAAATCACCTGTATCAAGTAATGGTCTGTAGTAACGAGTTAAAATCGATTACGCAAGGTAATTAGGGTTAATTAGTAAATAAATCCCTTCTGGCAGCTAGTATATATATTGGAGGATAATGCCCGTGGCTGAAAGATTGTCCAGAAAATAAACATTCGCTTCGAGCGCAAATGTGAAATTTTGAGGACAATCTCTCAGCGGCAAGGGCATTATCATTCGAAATACCAGCAAGCCAGAAACGGGTTTATTTATCTTATATTCCTGAGATAAATTTTTTACGTCTCTAACATGTTGGGAGAGAAAGAAAAACAATAACGAGAGGTGAGATGCGGGCGAATGACGCAAACAAGCACATTGATTGGTTGATTTTTTTTATTGAAACTGTAATTGGATTAGGGCTTGATAGGCTCAAATGAACTTTTACGAAGTTTTACTTTTATGAAGTTTTACGTTAGTGGGCTGTTGGCAAAATCTGGATTTGTTGCTGCGGATGGGAGAAGCTGAGGAAGTCATAGAAAGAAAAGGTAGAAGAAATAATGAGGTCCATCTGAAAGAACAGGTTAAACTGACCGAAATTTACTTGATTTTAGCTTATAAATCTCTTGCTAATCGAAGATGACACGAATTGTTGCTCTATAGTTGGTTGCAAACTGTACGACTGTAACAATTTATCGCTTTCATGGCCCTCTACGCTTTTTCTCTTTCTTTTCTCCATGCTGAAAGTAACAAAAAAGGCTTATTTTCTTAAACACCTTAAAGTAAGCTTTTTCCATAGCTGACAGCTATGACTGCGTAAAAAACTATATTCATGTTTCTGTTCAAATGCATAAGCTTAAATATTAAGCTTATGATTCGTAAATTTTGCTCATCTTCGATTCATAGCTTATTTGATTGATTTCTCTGTTAGTATTTTCCGGAACTGTTAGTTGCGAACAGCTCAAAATTTTAGTGAAAGTGGGTCATAAGAAGCAAGAAACAAGATTGCTTTTACTGTGTTCATTTCAAATAATTAAAAAAGATAAAAACTGAAAAGATACTAATTTTGTTGACTCTGTCATGCTTTCTTGCCACTGATAAATCGTAGGGCAAATATCGACACGGACGGGATAGTGCCTGATACCTGCCCTCCGATTTGATACCACGTGACCCAAAATAGTCAATAAAATAGCGCAAATTATTAATCAGTGGATTATAATTAACAATTAATGAATGAGACTGAGTATGTTATGAAGAACTATGGAGATCGAGGAGGGTGTTATCGGCCGAGGCGGATAAAACCCTCCGAGATCTCCATAATTCTTCATATGATACGAAAACCGATTTCAGTAATTCTTTTATTATTCATTCAAAATAATTCCTAGTTTAAAAACATAGCTAAAACATGCTTACCTCCATCGATGTTAAGTTTATCTTCGATAGTGCACGTTTAGGGTTGTTCAGCTCCGCAAATATACTCCAACTCAGGCATGTTAAGGCATGGGTCACCTCATAACTTGCATAATTTGGCGAAGTGGCATTTGAAACGTGGCAATCAGTTTTAGCTCGGTGGCCTTAACAATATGTGACATATTCATTGTTGAAATATTAGTCACATGACCTAAAAATGATCGTTAACGTTCAAGGTGTTCAAATTGAAACGGGGGAAAGGAAATGAAAGAGCAGCAAATATTCTTAGGCACCAGTGTTTTTCCCATGGTCTGGATACTATGAAATAGCCCTGCACGTATGCCTAAGTGGAGCAAGGATTACGAAATAAAGAAAAACAGGTCACGTGACTTATAAAAGACTTCAATTACTCTTAATAAAAATGCTTTAATCCACCTTGCAAGGCTAATTGACAATCCAGACAGTTTCGCTGACAATTTGATGACAAGTATTTTTAGGCTAAAGTTGTTAACAACCTTGCCCCGTTTGAGAAAACAGCTCTTGGTTTTGTGACGTCATGGTCCAAGGAATGTCACGTGATGTTTGGGATGAATTTTCCAAAACTATTTTAGTGAGATATATCTTATCATATCTTTGTGGAACCCTTTACTTGAATCCTTCTTCTTCAGTAAAAAGGGTCATTGCATTCTCTGTGGGGGGACTTTTTAATTTTTCAACCCATGCCTTAACTTGTCTGAGAAATAGCAGATGTCGCCCTTCTAGTTGTCTTCTTGCTGTTCTTGCCATGTTTTTAGCTATTATTTCGCCTAGTTCTCACTCTTGAAACGAGTGAGATGTCCGCCATTTTTGTTTTCACAAACAAAACAACCCAACCTCGTCCCCAGGTCTTCTCGGTTAACGGTGCATTAACCTGCACGAAGGCTGCACTTTTGACGTCATCGGTTCATTAAACGCTAAATTCTTCCAAATTTGGTCATCAGTAGCTGGTTATGGTGAATTATATGCGTGTGCTTTTAGCCAATCAGAACCGGGGAAATATTTTGAATTAATAATGCTATGCTTTATTTACGATGAAAATCACAAATATACAGGAAAGAAAGAGAAAATAATAGTAATAATAATAATAATAATAATAAAATATTAACTAACTTACAACTGAACTAATTAACAAAAACAGATTGTGACAGTGACTGGTGTCTAAAGGGATACCAATATAAAACAGAGTCAGTGTTACAAAAAGTTTCTACAAATCACTAAGTTAACAATAACGATATATAACATATAAGTCTCACTTAAACTATTGTAAACAATTATGACAAATAGGCATTACAATTAAACAGGCAGTGAGAGAAAAATAACCTATTTCAAATAAAATTCTTAGGAGATATAAACCATTTGCTTTTAAAGACGTCAGTTGTTTCACTGTCAACGCTAATAAGTCGTTCAGTTTCATATTTTGCCACAGAGTTTTTTTAAAACCATGTATACTTGGCGGTGTCTCGTTTGCTCTACAGACCCACAGATAAACTTTACCAATGAATAGCACATAACTAGTAAGTAAATGATGTAAATGACCCTGACAGGACTAGCTCAGTCGGTTGAGCGCTTGACTGCAGAGCGGGAGGTCGCGGGTTCAGTACCCCGGGGCCGGACCAATACTCAGGGTCTTAAAATAACTGAGAAATGAAGAGGTACTCTCTTTGCACTGCAAGCGACTAGACCTTCGCGTGGCTCGATCACCACGTAAAATGGTTCCGTTACCGGTTAGGGACGTAAAAATAGGGTATAGTGTCCTCAATTAGTTATTTTGTTCTAAATACCTTGAACTGAAATAAAGTGCATTTAATTTTTTTAAAGGCGTTTTGTGGCATGGTCACTAATTCTACTATAATGTCTTTGACTGATACATGCAATTGTATTATTTCCATTTCCTTTGTAAGTAGGTGCCAAAAAGATTCAAAATCAGACCAAAAAGTCTTTGAAAATGGACAAAAATAGAAAAGATGATACAGCGACTCTGATTCCCGGGCACAAAACTGAAAGGAGATGGCTTGAAACGTAGCCTGTTTGGTACAACTAAGAGTTGCAAGAAAATTGCATTAGATACCTTGGAATTTATATAGACTAAAATATTAGTTGGAAGAGCCACATTAACTATATTGCCAAAAAATATAAAGAAGTATAGATATTCGCTCTAAGCTTCGCTATTTCCTGAACATAAAAACCTTACTTAGCTTGTATTATACCTTAGTAGAGCCGTTCTTTAATAACTGTGTAATTTTTTGGGGTAATGCACATCAGTCAACTTTGCAACCTTTATCTAATTTGCAAAAGAAAGCTATAAGAATAATTACCTTCTCCAGTTACACCGAACACTCAAGTCCTTTATTTTAAGACCTGAATATTGTAAAGCTGGCTGATATCATTACCTTCCAATTAACTTGCAGTGTTTATGAACTAATTGCAAAAATTATAATCTCTCGAAGAAAAAAACATATGAAAAAGATGCATTTAAAACTCTAAGGAGAAAAAGAAAACAAAACAATAGCTCGCTGTTTTTATAGGCAGGATTACAAAAAATTGGTTCTGCTTTCTTCATTTTAAGAATACTTCCATCTATTTCATAATAAGTATCGCCAGTCTCCAGTATATCAAGCAAAGATGCACGAATATTAATTAACTTTGAATTTGTGTTTTGAAAGTGTGCGCAACTTGGTCGGTATCTCATTCCATAAGTTGGCACCAAATCTCGAGAAAGAGTTTTTTTGGATTTCAAGATTCTATTTTTTTATATAAAAAGTTTTGAGATGGAGACGATCTAGTGCCGTATGAATGTACACAAGAAAGTGGAAGGAACAATTCCTGAATGTTTGTGGGTACTAAGTTGTTTCTCATGTCAGACATTGTTTCTGCTTGTAGCTGATAATAGAGAAAGTTAATTGGTAATGTTTTTGTAATGATAAAGAGAGGAATGGCATCATCACGCGGTTTAGCAAAGTGAATGAAGCGAAGCGCGTTTCTGAAGGCCTAAAAGTTTGTTTAGTTGTGATTTGCTTGCTTGACCCCATGCAATTAGACCGTATCGAAGATAGGGTGCTATCAGAAAGTGATAAATGGAAATAAGTGAAATAAGTAATTTATTTACATTTTAGTCCCAAGGTATCTGATCTTAAGATAATAATGTACATCTTTAATCTTTAATCACAGTTCGTAACCATACATAACTGATACAAATGAACTAATACTAACATATACAATCGAACAAAAATACCAAAATGGTTAACAGGACGGTAGTAGGGGGAAACCAAATTCCCATGCTAAGACATACCCTCCAAAAAATAGAAAATAAAAAATAATAATTAATTAATATATAAACATATATTAAAAGACTATAAATTAGACCATAAATTATAAACCTAGATGGCTAATAATAATGCATTAACTTATTGCTGCGGAGCGACCGAAGGGAGCGATCAGCAACATAATCAGGATTTAAAGGAAATATATAAGGGACGACGAATTCTCGAATTCATCACTTTTTACCACAATGCATTGCATTTAACCACACTTTTACCACAATGCAACACGGGGGATATACAAATTCCAGCTTGCTAGAAGGTGATGTGAAAGTGAGAAAATGTCATGCCAAGCTATTCTTAAGAAACTGTATGAGCCGAAAATGGGTGTGATTTTGACCATTCGCTTCAAAATAACAGCGGAAATCGAGATAACAAAACATATGTTTTGTGTCCTACTTTGCAGACGAGGACGTGTATCGCCGTTTTGTTCTTTCATTCATTTATTGCCATGGAATATGCGTTTACATTGTTGTTTCACTGTTAATAGCTCGGTTAATGCGGCTGGCGATGATCTTGCCGGCGGAAGTTTCATGGAAAAGGAATAAAATGAAAGACTTTTCCTAACGACTATGTAATCAGTCTCTGTGGTGTAGTGGTCAAAGTGTAGTGGCGTCGAGTCGAAGGTGCCGGGTTCGAGTCCTACTGTATTATTAGTGCCTTGTTTCTTTTTTTTCCCGTTTTTTGTGTTGTTGTTTTCTATAAATATATAGCTAAATAACTGTTACTTAATAAAGTGCAACAAACAGCAAGAAAAGTACTGTGTTTCCAGAGAAAATATCGTGCACCGTATATTAAATATATGGATAAACGATCTGAATTTCTATTATTTCCTACAATTTACTGTGGGAAAACTAGAGTTGATAACCACTTGATCATTTTCTAAACAACGTTCTCACGGGTTCTTTCTATAGACAGATAGTAATTATTCTAGTACTTTCCAACATGTAAATAGGACATTCAATGTCATTTTTGATTCTTTTAAGTCTCACTGCCTAACTAATGCCAGTATCAACAGAATGTGCCGCAGCATTACTATCTTATAGATACCCTAGTATTAAAGACAAGATGCCACGATACATGGTGTGCTGCTTGAATGTTTAATTTTTTTAGCTCCATATATAGCTTAGTCAGTCTCCTCTCTTGTTGTTGTCTTGGTTACACTCATGACTGGCCTTATTTTTCTTCTATTTACAAATACAAATTACATTTCTTTTGATGGTTTTTCTGTTTAATTTTTTTGTTCATGCATGTTACGTCTAACTGTGAGATGGAGAACAGACCAAATACATATTTTCGCCTCAACAAATTGGTCCCTTGGTTAGATTCTCCTACCTGAAGTCTCCTTTGTTTCAGTCTCCTTCTGAGTGTTTTCATTAAGGTCTTTTCCTGTTCCAGGAACAAATCCTCCTCCTCCTTTTCTCTTGCCAGTTCCACTTCCGATTTTTCCAGCCTTTGTGAAAATGGAAAAGACATGTCCAATCAGAGGATACCAAAGCTATTAAGTACGATTAATGCACTACATCCCTAAACTTTCTTGTATTCAAAACCACGATCTATCATGAATCCGTAACGAAAACGCCACGTATGTAGTCTTTAAACAGGATGTCTATTTGGTGCAAACTATAGGGTTAAAAATTCGCGAGGAGACGGCGAGGGAAAAAATGGAAGAGGGAAGTAGCAAAATGCCCTTTCCCTTCCCTTTAACCTGGCAATGACAGCTTTGAAATTAATATAATTTTTTTAAATACTTTGACTGATGGGCTTTCAAGCTTTTCAAGGCCTAATAAATGCTCGTCACTAAACACGCTAGAGAGTGAGTTTCATGTGACAGAAAAATGCCATCAGCTTTTAGACCGTATGCCGGTATATTTTCCTAACTAGTCGTACGCGTGGAAATTCAATTATAGCAGGTCGTGTGAAGAGGAAAGAAGTCGTTTGAACACATGCTGACAAATTATTCACTGAGGCCAAATGCAGTAACTAAACAGCCCTACGGCGAAAGAGATTCACAAAAATGTGTGAGTGGACTTACTGTTTTACAAGTTACTTCCAATCGAAAGATCGTCAATTGATAGTATTACCCTGACGCCTCTCGGTTTAATTTGTGCTTCGAACTTTCTATCTGAGATACTTTTATTTCTTTTTTGCGAACAAATATCGAACGGTTCATAACAGTTCTTAAGTCAGTAACTAACACTGGCGCTCGCTCACACCGTAGCTTCCTCTGAGAGCCTGCCGCCTGTACATGCCACTTTCAGACATCCTTTTTGGCTAAAACAGCTGCATTGCGATAAATTGTTGCATTCGAAAAGAGACGATTTAGTAAACCTGTTCCAGGAGTTCAGATAGAGAAGGGCATTCATTAGCGTGACGTAATATGATAAACACAACCTAGGACACGGAAGTAAGCACTCTCTCATTTCGTGACATTAAGTTTACTGTGATGATTTCAGGGAATTATAATATGTTAACGTTTAAAAATTTCTTACATCTCCGACTTCGACGTTCATCGCACTCAGTCTTCCTTTCTCGGACAAGATCCTACGAGCTTCGTCAGATTCACAGATGTGCAGTGGTGTGTGACCATTTTTGTTTTCTAGCTTTGGATCTGCACCCATATCTAACAAAAACAGCAGCATTTCTCTCAAAATCTCGACTTCTTCAGGGTCAGCAGGTTTGAACTTCACAGCTAGATGGAGAGGTGTGTTTCCCTCGGAGTTAAAGGCATTTACATCACACCCTGCATGTAAAATAAGCTTCATGGTCTCAACGCAGGGAAGCTTGCACACACTTTGGAGCGTGTCTTCTCCTTCCTGATCAGCATTTAAAAAAATTGGGGTTTCATGCCATGCAGCTAAGTGTAGTAGAGTATTTCCATCATTGGTTCGAGGGTTTAAAAGCAGGAACTTTTGAAGAAAGTCAATCATGTTGGCGTTTTGACCTTTAACTTTAATGTATATTACCAAAAGATAGAGAGCAAGGTAAAGCGTTTTTTCTAGCTCCTCGTTTTGCTGCCGCTCTTGTAAATCTTTAGACATACGTTTTTCGGTTTGTTTCTCACTTGCAGCAACCAGTATTTCAAACACATCTTCGATGAAATTTGGTCTTAAAATTTTACCTTTTTGTAACATTTCTCCGAATAAAGCCGAGAGGAGTTCAAGATCTTTTATTATCGGAAAATCGCAGTTTATGGCTTTCTCCATGCGTCGTTGCCACAAACCAATACAAAGCTCGTACTCCTTGTATAAGTCAACTAAAAGAGCTCCCCGGTATCTGATGTTGTAAAGAACTGCTGGATTGTCAGGCCCAAGGATTCTCTCTCTGATTATTAGTCCTTCCATGCCGATAGCAAGATCATCACCTTCTAACAGAGAAAGTTCCTCAAGAGTTTGACTCTCTTTTCTATTTTGGTAAGCTTCCACAGGTTCCATTTTCTTTTTATGCAATGGATGTGCCAGGTCTTCATATCTCATCTCCATTCCACGTTTCATGTAACTAAAGGCTTTATTAATGTCACGAGATTTATAATTAGCAATGGTGGCACCAAGAAGTTCAAGAGCATTAATTCTCTGTTTCTTTGTACATTCCGGTCTGTTGATAAGATACTCCACGATTTCAGTGGAACGTAAATCACAGGCATAGAGAAGTGGTGTTAAACCTTGATTATTTGGCAGTTGTGATGCTCCACGAGCCAAAAGTTGACTGACCATCTCCAAGTAACCCCTTTTAACAGCGTCGTGAAGTGCAGTGTTGCCGGCATCTTTGTATTGCAGATCCATAAAGGCGCCTTTGTCAATAAGATAAGTAACAACACTTAAGTGGCCCCAGTAGCATGCTGCCATTAGAGGGGTGGACTCACAGTCATTGCGTGCATTCACATCTGCCCCGCTCTCAACCAAACATCTCACAATGTCAAGGTGTCCTTTGAAGGCAGCAGCCCTTAATGGAGTCGACCCCGTCGATGTTCTGCCGTCAACGTCTGCATTTCGTTCGATTAACAGTCTCAGAACATCAAGATGACCAGTAACAGCAGCGCCCCACAAAGGTGTACAGCCCTCTACAACTTCGTCCCCTATCTTAAGCGTTCCTCGATCCTCGCTGTCTGCTCCATATCCCAGAAGAATCTTCACAGAATTCAGGTGTCCATTATGAGCAGCGATGATGAGAGGAGTGACGAAATGGCTGCCATCTTTAGTTTTTGTTTCCAAAGCGGTTTTTCTTTGTTCAGTTTTCAGCCGCTTTAAAAGATCGGTCAGAACAGAAGAACCGTCACGAGCAGCTTGATAAATTTTAGTTGCACTATCACTCACGGATAGCTTATCAGCCATTTAACATTAAACTTCAGCGAACCCGCTCTAGATGGAATTTACTATACGTTTCGCTTGAAAGATACTGAATACACTCGGGTAAGCAAAACAAGTCACAACAAAGAGTCAGTTTTTGAGGTCATAACCTCGCATAAGCAGACTCTAAAAATTCATTCGCACAGTAAAAATCAGTACGTCAGATCAGATGACTGACGTTTAGTTCAGTCTATTTATTTCGTCAAAATGGTTCATGTTATTTCATTTCAGCACCTGTCTTCTTATACGAATCATATTCTATATTCTGTTTGAATAAACACTCAATGACTTTAAACTGTCATTCGTGATCCGCGTGATTCCCACCAATTATATACACTCATCACCGTGTCTCGCTAGAAAAGGGAAGTGTCACGGAAGTGTGGAACAAATTTGTTGTTTCAGAGGAGGTAGGGGAGCTCGCTTCATGGGTAGGAAGTCCTAGCTGCGAGTTCCTATAATTTCTGCATTTTTCTCATTATAAAATTACCGATCTAACTCAATCTAACCGTTACAGTTCAGTACCTAGCCCAGTCACTAAAGAGCAGTGTTATTAAAACGCTGTGGCTGTATGCCCTGCAGCCGGGAAGTTCCGGGGAGGGCGGTTACCTGAGTTAATTTTTGCTGGGTATGTGCCGCTGGCCTTCCCCATTATAGTCTATTTTGTGGCCGTTTATTGACCCCACCTTAGTTAGCCTGCGAATGGCAGAAGTTTCTCCTCGCTCATCGCCGAACACAACACTTTTATACCAAAATCAACCAGGAGAAACGTAAAATTGAACAAATTTGCATTTGGAACCCCATGACTACCGGATTTATCATGTAAACATTGATTAACGTCATCAGTATGGAATTTCTGTCGCTGAGTCGCAGACGTTCCTCCTCGTGAAACGTCCCTTAGCCCCGGGGGGGGATACTCGATATATTCCTGAGTGGGGAGGTGCGGCGCGGCCCCTCATACCCTGACCAGTGTTTAAGACAAATATCGCTGATTTTCCTACCCTGTTTAAGACAGAATTCCGATTTTTGATACCCTGTTTAAGACATTTATTCTGTTTATGACAAGAATTGATAAATCGATACCCTGATTAAGACAAAAAATGATAAATTCGATACCCTGTTTAAGACAAAAATCCCGAAAAACATACCCTGGCTGGTCGCACGTCCCCATTAAGCCCTTATAAGGGAGTACCCCCCCCCCCGGGCCCTTAGCGGCGATGAGCCGGGAGAGACGTCTGTCGTTCGCAGGCTACATCTTAGTCACTTTTGGGCAAATATGTAATTTTCGCGATCCCAACTTAGTCACTTTTTATGAGTGACCCATTTTTATGAGTGACCCATTTTATGGATTGAATGAAGAACACTTTACTTTTCATCTACAGTACAAACATTCTGGTACGTTTGCTAACCGTAAATATGAAGAACTGTCTTACCCCAAAATATCCGAAAATGTATAGTCAATCCAGTCGTGAAAATGTGACCCCATCCAGCGGCACATCCCCATTAGCCTATTAAAAGGACGTACCCCCCCCCCCGGGGGGGAAGGGTCTTAAAGAAACTAAATGCCCGGCAGTCAGAAAATGTTCTAGAATTTCTGCTAAATCCCTTTTCCTTTTTCTAATCTTTTGAAAGTATTGTTGGTTTTCACACGACGACACGAAAATTCAAACTACAAAACTATCGATCCTACCGAGATTTTACTTTGACGATGTATTAGAGCAACTGAAAACTAATTTTCATACAAATTTTCGCTTCAAAAGGGTTCTTGGTTTTGTCATAGAGTACGCTTGGATTTCTAAGCTTTTGCGTGACGCGTCATTTACATGTAGGGTAAAAAAAAACTTATTTCAGGGAATTTTGCTATATAAACAGTTCACCTATTAGAAAAAGTATTGCTTTAATGTTTATGAGTTCCTCGAAGAATGAATTCCCGCTTTTATAGTAAAACTCGGTAACAGATGTTTCTGTTGGTTTCCGTCCGCCATGTTGGAGCCCATCCGAATGAGCACCAGCATGGCGTCTCCATACAAATCTCTATAAATTTGGGTAAAACATTTCTTCGGATATCTCGCATACGAAATATTCCTCTGATCTCAATCTTGGCGAGGGTCTTTGCATATTTACCTCCTTTCATTTCCCAGATTCTGGACTTTATCTATTGAACGGTTTTGATTTTTATTTTGATCTATTTTGAAAGGGCGTGACCCTTAGTGTCGTCACGCAACGCTCCTCCCCACTAGTTAATGGGGAGAAGCGTTGCGCGACAACACTAAAAACGGCTATGTAGCAGACTAATCTTCAGTAGAATTATTAAGCGATCAGGGAAACAAGAATGGCTTTGCAACTGAGCGGTTGCGGTTTCTTGGCCATACAGTAGATGCGACGCCGTTTCGACACAAAAAAGTTGGGAAAATTTTAAAATGTCATGAGAAGCGGAGCGTGACTCATGTGCACGTTTTCATCCAAGCTCAATACCCTGCAGTCTAAAAGTCCTAAGCTAGAGCCAGCTGGAAAGGAAGGAAGCATTCTCCAAAATGTACACACTAGCCTAGAGTTAGTGGATCAAAGTTTCCCCGAAACGATAACAAAAATACTGGCAGTGTTTTAATCTAATTTTGAAACTTCATTTGGCAACCTCGAGCACAGGTCACCCAAACGTAATTTAGTATACAATGGGCGATTACCGTATTTATTCGATTAACCGCCTTGGGCGCGTATTAAATTTTTGGACCTTGAGAGTGGGCGCTTATTCGAGGTGGGCGCTTATTCGAGGCTGGGCGCTTATTAAATTTTCACCATTTTCAGCAAGTGAAGGGTACAAAGAAAGCAACACTTTACAAGATCATTCTTAACCTGTGAAAAGACACCCCCGTTCTTTTTTCGAGGGGAGTAGGCGTCTTTACACAGGCTATCTGTGAAAGGCTGACGTTAATTGTGTTCTGGTATACAATGGCATAAATTATTTTTGTTTGTTTTTCCTCTGACAGTCGAAAAGGTGTTGACAGACCACCACACTTTTGTCTAATTTTACTACTCAAGACCGGCACATGAAGCCGGTGTACAGACCCTCCCCCCCTGATGTCTGTACACAGGCTAGCCGCAAAATTATTCGCAATTTCGACGCTGAAATCCAAATATTCTGATCTCTAATTTAGTTTTGATTTCTGTACGTCCTTCTCTTTTGTTTACAATAGGCCACCGGCAGAGAACAGATGCACCGCAACCGGTACAGCAATAAAAAACTGATCGGTGGTCTCACTTCACATGCCTATTTCCGGAGAGCCGAAATACAAGTAAACGTAGCACACAGGCTAGGTTTTTCCTAGCCTCCCACGAAGACTTGAGGGATGAAAAACGAGCTTCCCTAAAAAAAACGCCTGCGTGGGAGGCTAAATTTTTCCCGGGGAATCTATTATGACATTCATTCACCAATCACAACACCGGAAAATACTTGCATTACATTCCGGGGAAACGCCATGCAGGCATTTTTAGGGGAGCTCCCCTAAAAACGCCTGCGTGAGAGGCTAGGGGAAACGGGATACGGGAACACGGTTAACGATTCACAGACTTCTCTCTCCTCGGAGGGGCGTCTGCTACCACCACACTCGCGCACAGAACGCCGAAAATCTGCCAAATCCGCGTAGGACTGGGGAACGGTAACTTTCTTGATTCAATATGGCGTCCAAAGGGAACTCGGTGTTTTCACGAATCATTCGCCGTGAACTTCCCGCTACGTTTCTTCATGAGGATGATCAGGTAAACCAAGAACGATGTGTAACTCGAACTCTAATTCTACACCGACTATACTCGCACCTATAGTTGCACACCTGCAAATTCAACAAACTCAGCCTGCAGTCACAACATTTGCATAATGGCTGGTGAAAATAAGGTAATCTTGTATTCACCCCCTTTCTCTATGGCTGTGGGCACTCGTTAATATTCAAACTCCCAGTGACGTTTTGGTGGGTGGGGGATGGGATAGGGTGAGTGTTAAAATTTGAAATGAGCGGTTTACATTTGTGGTACCCACACTTTTTTCAAAAAGATATCTCTTGATGCAAGTTTAAAAAATTGCTTAATTCTGTATGTAAAACAAAATGAATACTGGGTCATTAAACGAGGTCTTTGTCTTAAAAAGGGTAGCAAAATGAACCTATTTTGCCTACACTAACCAGATAGACACCGACACAAGAATAAATACAGGGGCCTGTAGGCCCGGGGGTAGCACTTGGGTTTTTTTTGGGTGGGTATGTGGCGCCCGGGACTCCAAATTGGCACCCTGTTCTAAAAAAATTTCCCCTAAAATTGATACCCCGTTCTAGAATTCACCCTAAAACTGATACCCTGTTCTAGAAGTGGGCCATAAGCTAACGATTTTCCTTCTCCTCCCCCGTCCCTTTCTTTTGAGCCCGTCTCCATCTCCCTTGGGTATCTTATGGACTCATTCCAGACTTCCGCGCGAAGATGGCAGAGTCAGCGCTTCCGGCTCGCACCAAATTACGCCCGCCCTGCACACTAAAACACAGGGTGCCACAAGAGTACAACAGTTTGCTTGTTAACGCATTGAACTGTATTTTTAAAAGCAATCTGTCCTTGAATAATTTCAAATGGCTGCTTATAAAACTGGAGCTTTCGTGCGTTGGAAATATTATACCCTGTTTTCGAGAGCGCCTCTGAAATGGATACCCCATTCTAAATCAGGAGCTTCAAAATCACTACCCCGTTGGGCGGCACATACCCGTATAGGTAATGTATGGGAGTACCCCCCCCCCCCGGCCTGTAGGTCAGCAAAAACGTCAAAGCTAGTTTGTTACAAAATTGCCATTAGATTACAAGACCACACTTAATTACAAAACAACCTCTGATAAAAAACAAACCTTGAAAGAAGCTAAGTACAATGCTGCCAGATACGAAAACCCAAAACCACTTTGTGTAAAAAAGGGAATGCACATCCCCGCCTGCTGAAATCAGCTGCAGTGCCGACAACTCAGGGGCAGAGGTACGCTAAAAAACTATCTTATTGGAACTGAATTTCTCGCGTAGTTTATTTCGCAATTTTGACAAGAGAGTATTTTGCAGAATTTTATTTTTATGATTTTAACAGGCAAATGTGAAAAAGGACATAAAATTTGCGACTTAACCATTCTCAACCTCATTTTATTTTTTCAAAAGTCTGAACCTTTAAAAACTTTTAGATAAACTGCAATAAATAATTTCGTGAAATCTTTGCAAACTAAAGTTATTTCAAAAGTGAAGATACAAAAAGGAGCTTACCAGTAAAACTAGTCAGCAATTTGTGTTTGTCCATGCATTTCCTTTATATGTCAATTGTTGCTATTACAAGTTAATTCTTTTTTTGAATTTTCTATATGGGTATAAAATTTCTCATGCTTAAAAATCATGATTATTTATTTTCGCGTTTTTTCTACAATCTCGAAAGACACGAAATTAATTACCAATGTAGCTTCCAAATGATGACTATAAACAAAATTATATAACAAAATTGGAAAATAAAAAAGTTAGGAGCTCAAATGAATGCTGACCTAGACTGATCCAAATTTGCAAATATGTACAACTAAACATGTCTCAAAAAACTACCCACAATTTCTCCTAGCCAAGCCATTCCTCTGGTCTGTGCCGGCAAAATAGCTATTTCTGTCTGTTCTGTTATATACTACACTGTGGTAAATAGCATTTTTTCACTTAAACAGGGTCAGGGTTTGAAGACCTCAGCGGCACAACTATACCCAAACTCGCCTTTTGTGCACCCACCATTACCTGATCACATGTAAAAAGGCCAAAATCTGGAATTACGTATTTTTGATTGGTCCACACACAAAACATCTAGCACAGTTCTGTTCTGACTGGCTTAGAGGTTTTATGTTTTATAGGATTTTGACACCTGTAATTAAATGGTGTTTGAATAAGATGTATCTGATTCATTTAAATAACATCCTCCCCAGGTTTAAAGGTGATGTTATATGGATACATAGACTGATCTGCAATAGCGATTTTTAGCGCAACAAAGCATCGCAATGCTAAAACAGTGTTGCAACCATTTGAAACAATGTTGCAAAACTGTTTGTGCTTCAAATTGTCTTCTCAAATTGTCCTTTGTAACATAACCTTAAGTTTGTATTTTCATTTTTGTGGCTGATAATTTGGTCAAACCACCCATAAGTGACCACTCAAAATGTGAAGAGTTGGTGTTCACTTATCAGAGGTGGTTGTAACCTGAGATCAGGCTCTATTTTCGTTTCGCTTTGAAAATTACATTCCGGCAGGCATGGTAAAACGAAAAGAGAGCCTGATACAAACCTTCTACGAAACGTCTGCCACACACTTTTTTGATTGATTGACATTTGCCGAATCAGCCAACCAAAATTACTTCCGTTGCTTGTTTTTCTAGTATGCAAATTTTTCACACGTGGGAAAAATGCAGACTGGCTGACTTAAACAATAGCTTTTATCTGTTAATTTTTTCAGCTAAAAATAAAACAATTTTGCGATAAATATTAGCGATAAAAAATCACGACGTTTCGACCTCTCCGAGGTCATTTTCAAGTGTATAAAAGTTCTCTAAATTAGCATAGATAAGTTAAAAGCAAGTTATAATAGATAAAAATGTGGTGAACGCTAAAATGTGATAAATTAATATGTAAAAATGTAAAAAGTGCTAAAAAAATATTTATAAAATCAAAAAACAATGGAAATAAAACAATGTTAACAAGAACTACTCTAAACAAATAATTTGGCGCGAATTGAATCGCACTGTTTGTTAAGTGTCGGTTTCAGTTCTTGGATAAAAAACATTTCAAAAATAAGGCAGTCAAATTTGTTCTGACACTTTCTTAAGATTCTAAAACTTTGTGCGATGTCTTCAGGCTCCATATCATGCTGCTCTCTGAGGTGGTTTCATTTTTACATATTTTATCACATTTTAGCGTTCACCACATTTTTATCTATTATAACTTGCTTTTAACTTATCTATGCTAATTTAGAGAACTTTTATACACTTGAAAATGACCTCGGAGAGGTCGAAACGTCGTGATTTTTTATCGCTAATATTTATCGCAAAATCGATTTCTAAGAAACTACTTATTAAAAATAAAACAGTCAGCACAATCACATTTAACTTCTTGCGAGATTAAGGGAGATCTCGAAGGTTATTGCTGTTGGCATAGAAGGTAAAAAGTTTTCGAAAAGACGACGACACGATGTTCTACTAGTTTTATTATTTTGGCTAGTCATGCTCGAATTTAAAATACTGAAATTTTCTTTTTTTCTGTTGCCTTAATATTTTCCTCGGCAATTTCCCCTGATTTTCAGTACATAAATCTTTTAAAACAAAAGCAAACAGCCAACAAGCGATGACACCAGTTTTCCTGGTTTATTTTATACAAAAAGCGAAGGGAAACAAGTGCCTACACCGAAAATTCCTTGAATAGCGATGCAATATTTTTCGTCGAATACTTCACAGTTCGCGATTGAGGTTTCTTTTGCAGTGAGCCTTCGCTTGCATAACCCATTCAGAGAAGTCATTCCCAGCTAAACTTTCAAATGAAACCAGTTTTAAGATGGACAGTATTTTGATTTGCACTCGTTTGTTGGTAAATCAAAAGACACCTCGTTAGTGGTCAACAACTTGCAGAGGGATTCAACTCTGCAAAACACTCACGTTAGTTCCCTAAATAAAGCAAATCCTGAGAAGATATGAACAACCATATGAATTTTCTGAATTTCCATGGCACATATTAAGGCATATTTTCCTACCATAAGACCATAAAACAATAAAAAAGACAGCATAATCGATCTTTCTCTCCACCGACGACGGATCATTCACGAAAACAACCACGCAAGGAATAAGCGCTTTCAACTTCCGGCGTTTCTGACAGCCAATCAGATCTTGTGGCATTGTTCTAACAGCCAATCAGCGTCACGGCCAAAATCTGGCTGTAACAAGCACAAACATGAGAGAGTTTTTATCAGGCCCAATTTTAGCGGTAGCCATTAGAGAGAATGTATGAGAACTGCTAAAATTGGGCCTGATCTCAGGTTAAGGTGGTTGCTTATGACAGTCAAACTGCAGGAGGTCCTTTATGAGGAGAAATCTTTAGATAACAATAATATTATATGTAAATCCATGTTGTTTCTAAAAGTTTGTCTATTATGCTGAGTAACATAGTAGATGTAGGGATCGCAAAAAAACAGAACTATACATTACACTAGGTGGTCGCTGCTCAAGAAGAGGTTTAAAAACAGTGGAAAATCTTAAAACCCTCATGCTAAAGAATGGTTGCTGTCGCTCATGGGGGCAGTCATGTACAAGAGTTTCCAACCATAAGGCTTTGACTAGGAAAAGTGTGGTGGTTTAGATATTAAAAGTGGTGTTTTATGGGAGGTGTCGCTTATGAGACATGGTTGCACATGGAGCCATGGAGGTTCAACTGTTATATTGAAAAAAAACTCTAGATGATATTACCTTATCACAGAAATAATCTTGTGTTAGTTTTTTAAAGAAATGAATGTTCTGAGGTTAATGTATTTAAATGGAGGGTGGCAGGTGGCCTGTGGAAAAAAAATTAGCAGGTGTTCTTTTTCTCCCTCTCTTCTGAAAGAAAGAGCCTTGTTGCAGGTTAACATAGGTATTAAATATCATATTCTCCTTCATGCCTTTCCCCCAACTCCACCACTTAACCCCTTTCACAGAGAAATTTAATATAATTACTAGCCTGATACATCCATTATCAACTACAGAGTTGGATAAACTATAAACAGAAATAGCAACAAGTGAGTGGGTACTTTTGATTACAGTCGATTTGATTACTTTATTTTCAGTGCATAGCCATTGAGGACATTAATCCACAAGCCCCAGTTCATTTCCTGGTTATACCAAAGAAAGAAATAAGAAAGATAACTGATGCTACAGATGAGGATGAACAAGTATGCACATACCATTTTGTTTGTTTTAAGTACATTTACCTCTTGATTTTTATATGACTGCTGTGTTTAAGAATTAAGGTATTGCTGTTATTGCAAGTTAAATTTACTGGATTATTATTTAATACCCTCAGAGAGCTGTTATCCCAACCAGGAATTTGGGTGGGTGTGTGCCATGAGCACCCTAAATCCCTTAGCCCATTAGTATAGGGTCAAACCCTTAAAAAGTTGACACTCATAAGACCAGAGTAATTGTGTTCGGGTTCCCTGTGAGGGTATCTTGGAGGGTGTACCACACTATTGACTAAAAACCTACCCCTATCCTGCCTCCTTTATAGTTTCATCCCGGGGAATATTTCCCAGTAGTAGGCTAATGGTTATATGTGCTGCTGGATGGGGTCGCATTTTCACGACAGGATTGACTATTATGGAGTTGCATTTTTATAAGTTACTAGAATGAGGTTGCACATTTTCAGGCTTTTGGGGGGTCAGAAAATTCAGGTATGAAGGGATTTAAGAATAGAAAGATTTACAGCACATAAAGTTTAATGAATGTGTTAGTTCATTTCAGGGTATCCAGGGAAAAAGGCTTTATAAGGTAGATGCATAAACAGAAAGTGACTAATTTGGGATTGTGAAAATTACTTTTTTCCCAAAGTGACTTTACATGAGATCTGTAATATGGCCACAGAATAGACTATAATGGGATAGGGATTCTGAGAGGCCAGCGGGACATACCAAGAGCAAAAATTAACCCAAGTAACTCCCCCCCGCCATCTCACCTCCACGGTAGTTTCATAGACATAATAGACCTCCCTACAGACAGCTGACTGATACCTGCACTCTGCCCAAAGATTTGAGACTTTTAAAGGAAAAGTGGAATAGCAGATCAGGCTAGAAATGGGGAATTCTGGATCCTGTTAACCTGTCCTCTCTCTTTCAACTCCTTTTTGCACCCAGTCACTTTGAGAGAGAAATCTTTACAATGAAAATGTATCAGGGCTGTCATTACTTTTTAGAGCAGCCGTAGCAAATTAAGATTCAACCGTAACTTCTTCCCAGAACTTTGTAGTGTCACCTTTACCTTTCCGCTTTGATCACCCGTAAAATGAAGTCAGCTCAGCAGTAACAGGTGTTACAGGTTACAGCCCTTAATGACAGCTTTGCGTACATGTATGACTATGTTTTTTTTTTTCAGCTTCTTGGTCACTGTATGATTGTTGCAAAGAAAGTAGCAGCCCAGAAGAGTATTGACCAGGAAGGCTATCGTGTGGTAATCAATAATGGTCAACATGGCTGTCAGTCTGTCTATCACATCCATTTACACATTTTAGGAGGGTGAAAGCTCAAGTTACCTCCAGGGTGACTAGGTAATATCTAATTTATTTTAATATCTTGAAGTCCACATTATTCTGTTCTTGATATGTTGTTCCAGAAAACACCCTTTAAAAACGTCTGTGTAGTGTAATATAATATAACGCCACTGTGTAATATCCTCCGCTTACGTGTATAAACTCCCCACTTAAAATAACACCTCTGCAATAATATTATAGGCCCACATTCTACCTGAAAACAAAGAAAATTAAGACAGAATCCATCAGGAAATTGAGTAATTTTAATTCTCAGTGGCCAAAAATCTTGCACCAGAATAATTTAAAGAATATTGCATTCTTTTTTGCATTTTTCGAGGCCCAAAGAAAATTTGTCATAGGAGTCCAAGAAAATGAAGGTCAAATTTCACAAGAATTGTGAAAACAGGTAAACTTCTGAAAATTTCATGTTTAAGATGCAATTTTGTGAAATTTGACCTTCATTTTCTCGGCCTCCCATAAGAAATTTTCTTTGGCGTTATTACAGATAACTAATTACATCTTAAGCCCCTGAAAAATGCAAAATATATAGGGGATATTACACGGTGGCGCGAAGATAGGAATTTTATTTTCGAGTGGCAAAACAAAATTTTACGAACGAGCGCAGCAAGTAAAATATTGTTTTTGCCACGAGAAAATAAAATTCATATCTTCAAGCCACCGTGTAATGTTCTTTTTATTATATAGACAAAAATACATCGATAAAATAATAGAGGGAAATGACCGAAATTACGTCATCGATAAACTCACGTGTGAGATTATGGAAAATAAACCACTCGGGTCCCGGATGTAGTTTTTATGAATTTTACGAGTGGTATATTTTCCAGTAAAACACTCGTGTCTATATAATAAAATGCAATATGCTCTTAATTATTCTGGTACAAGGTTTTTGTCCACTGAAAATTAAAATATTATTACTCAGTTTCCTGGTGGATTCCGTCTTAATACATCTGATTATAAGCCCCCACCCCTTCCCTCCATCTGTATTGAGGTGAAAACGATTTATCATGATGTTTTGATCTGCACTACTATAGCTTGTTTTAAAGCGCTTTTTCTATTTCTGTTTTAAGCGCCCGCGGATATAAGACCCTCTGATTATAAACTCTCCTTAATCCCTTAAGATGATTTGTAAGCTCAGGGCTTGTAAGCGGCAATTTATGGTAATTACCCATACTCTTCAACAGAAGAGAAGCAACGAGACTGCTGACTGGTGGCCATTTTCGACGCATGGGATGTCAACATTCTTGTTGCTTAAGATTGCAATGAAGAAGTGCCTTTGGGACCCGAGCTAAATGCCTTTCTTGTCCACTGATCTTTAAGAGACAACGTTTGAAATCAGGTAATTGGCAATTGTGAAGGAGAAATATGATGAAAAAAAAAGCATTCTTATTTAATTTTTCTAATTCAAACTCTATGGTCAGGCTTTTTTTACTGCATGCGGTTTACAGACTTAAATGTTGGGAGCTTAAGCAACAACAAAGGAGACGACAACGAGAGCGCCTTAAAAGCAATTGGTCAAGGGTCTGTTTACATGGAGGTGGGGGACCCTATTTAGATGAAATAACCCGCTAAGGTGACGTTACCCACTTGTCCATATAATCTTTTGTTTTCAAATGAGAGTAGAAGAGCATTAACTGTCACAGCATGTCAGTTTTTGGGGGGGATGGCGGGGTTGTTAACGCAGGTTATTTTTTACCCCTCTTAATCGGGTTACACCACCTTCCTAGGGTCTATGTAAACAAGCCTGTAAGTCAGCAAAACCTCAACTTTACTCGTGCGTCACGTTTTTTGTACATTTCGTTTCCTTCGTCGCATGACTGCGACGTTTTAAAAAAACTCCACGTCTTGTTAAGGGTCGGTGAACACGAGACAAGGACTTTTTTTTATTTTCCTGAACTTCGGAACAGCCTTTTAGAATTCAACTCCAGAAAAATTTGCCAACATTTGTCGAATTGAACGAGGTGGAATAAGTGCGATGAAGTTTAAAACAGCGCGAATTCATTTTTTGAGTGACGTTATCGCAGCTCCCTTTTTTAACGCTCCCTTTAACAAAAGTCATGGTCACCATGGGCGTAGCCCCTTCAGATAGAGGAGAGGAAGAGGGGAGCGAAGTGAAGAACGGGGCTGCCATCCCACCGCTGTTTTTTTTTTTCCCTGTTTTCTTTTCTTTGCGTTCCCCCCCCCCCCACTATCTGAACCCCTGAAATAGGTTTACTTTATAGAATTTACCAGCCTCTCAGTTTACTGATCAACATAATGTTCCATTTGGCAAAATTATTGCAGTAATCGATGAATAACGTCTTTTATGGCGAACTGTGCCCAGATCTTTATCTTATCTGAACTTTTGCGTAATATAAAATTTGCAGTGTGTATAACTCAGACCGACTTGCAGTGGCAAAGTTTTCTAAATAGGTACAACATAATAACGGAACAAGAATTAAAGCCCCGCGGATGAAAAACTGTATTTTATAGTATAAACAGGAATGAAATACTACAGGTCACCCAGGCTCTTTGATAGTACCAAAGTACCAATCCAGTTAAATTACAGTGTTTGTATGGGGTAAAAATACGATCCTAAAATTTGTAGGAAATACCAAATAAAAGTCAATGAAACTTACTCTGCAGTTAGTTGTTGTTGTCCTTGTTTCGTGATAATTTGCTCAAATTCACCCTCCATAAAATATAATACACAAGACAGGAGGAGGCACGAGATGACATCTCAGCCCCGGGCCCATCGTTCTTATTCCAACACCACGTTTTCCACGAAATTCGATCTCCAACGTAACGCAAAGTAATCACGCTAGGCTTATAGAAATAGGACTGCCCCAGAGATGGAAACCATTGAAGCTTTCCCAGGTAGAGAAACGAATTCAACAGACATTGTGAAACTCGAAGAAGAGAATCCAAAAGACTGTAGACCACTGTGAAAAATCAACTCCACCCTGGGTTTCCTCGGTGGCTTACTGTACATCACTAGCCTAATGTAAACCTCCCCCCGCTGGTAACATTTGTTCTAGGGCAATCGCGATTCACCAAAGCAAAACCCGTGCACCAGCCAAAATAACGAAAAAAAACTAAAAGAAATATATAACAGCTGGTGCCTGCCATTTTGTAATTTAGAAACTCTCGAAAAAGTTCAACGTTTTCCATTTTTTTAAGAAAGGAAGCTTAATAAGTATAAGCGGTCAATAACAGTTGTTGTCTTGAGGTCTTTCTTTTCCCCTCCCTTTAGACCCGCGTCTCCTTTCGCGTTCGGCTCTCGCGAAACTTCGCGGCTTGCTCCGAGGCTAAAGCATGTTTATCATTTCTCAATCATTTAGTTATTCGTCTAGCTTACGTTTTCAACAAACAGTAGTTTCTCTCTGTAGTATTAAAGTGAGTTTGTCTAAGTACTTCGTAGTAATAACGTTCGAAAACGTCGTAACGCCGTTGTTTTTTTTTTAAACGTTTTTAAAAATTTTTTAAAATATGTTTTTAAGAAAAGTCTTTTCGCCATTTTTTAAAGCTAATTTTTAAATTCTCTTTTTTTAAAACTAAATTGCTTAAAAATGGTAAAAAAGCAGTTGAATGCAGGCTAATCAAATCAGTTTTCTCTCTCGCAATCGGCCAAAGTAATCCCCCTCTTTTTCGTAATTTCCAAAACTCATGATTGTCTTGATGCACTTTCGAAGGACCGTTTCGGTGCCAGTGGAAACATGTAAAAGGGAAATCACCAGGAAGTGCGGAATCAAAACAGGCCAACTCTAAATGACTTTCTTCTGGTTCCTGGAAATACCCAAGGCGTGGAGTAGAGTTTGGAAAGGTTTTCGAATACAAAGAGGCGAAAAATGGGAACGGTGAATTCGAAAAGAAAATTCGTCTCGTTTAATGGACTTCCTATCAAACCGTCCTTTATTCAGTACTGTTGATTTGTCCTATAAAATTATGAATCACATGACTCCAAACGATTTCATAGAGCTTCCATTCCGTGTGGATCTAAAGCTTAAAGGAAGACTTCTACCATCGGTTACTTTAAAAAACTTTTATTGCATTGTTTTACTAATTTTACATTCACCCCTTGGATTGTTTCTTAGAAATTGAAATACTTGGCTTTTAACTGAAATTACAAACTCGAATACACTATTCAGTTAAACTCGCGCAAGTGAAATGCGGGAAGTGTGAACTGGTAATTTCCCGTTTTAACCTTAGGAAAAGATTGGACTCCCCTTATGAAAACTTTCTGGATCCACCTATGCAAGCTTAATCTGAAAACGAACATACCAATATTTTCCAAAGCAAAAAGAAATGATTAGTAAAAATATCTCTACCTTATTTTGAGTCAGTCTAAATATTTACCAGAGCTAAATCAGCATTGCCCATAGATGAAGCTATACATTCAACGAACTAATCTAAAGATTACTTGGCCTACTTTGACATTTTATTGGCACCGTTTTTATTGGTGGTCAGTGTATACGGATGGCTGAGTTTACCCTGTATTCTTTAAATCTTGTTCTTTTTTTTTTTTAATGTCTTATTTATCTGCAGGATTTGTTTCTGGGGTTTATCGATCTTGTAAGGTGACAATCCTTTTTTTACAGAGAATTGTCGGTCCTGGAGTTATTTCTAATGGTCCGTCGGTCCTGCGCATACAAAGTTCACTCATGTCAAAATTTCTCCAATATCTTCGTGACAGAGTATCTATAAGAGTAACAGGACAATACTAAGAAAAATAAAGATTACGCGCGTTCATTTCACATATTTCAAAGACCTATATATATACTTTTAAAAGCTATCGCAGAGCCTATAGCTTATATCTAACCTATAGTTCGAGGTTAAAAAGGTTAAGTTTTTTCGTATGTAAATCAAGTCATCCTCGGTATATACTACGACTAAGGTTGGGCAGCTGCCTAACTGAATTAAACAAATTTTAATGTTAACACAAATAAAAATGTGCTAGGCGTCCTTTTTTTTCGGCCTTTTATCGCTTGTTCCATTCTTGACTTGTACCCAAAAGCCAGGCATATGGCGCTGATCAAAAGAATCGCGCCTCATGCACTTGTTGACATAATGAAAATCAATGGCAGTTCAGTGGAAGTTCAATCCTTAGACTGCCAAAGGCCTTGACAGTTTTTACTTCTAATTTTCTAACATTCAGTACCTGCAGCCACGAACCTATACTGATTGATGAAAAAAGGTTAAATGTAAATGTTGTATTTATAGTGGAAGTGCACTTAGCTACCCAGCTACTTCACAGGCACCCCACTCAAGCAACCAGAAACAAATTATTTGATTCAAACGTAACACGATCAAAGACACAACTTGGCAGGAGGCAAACCAGTTAGTTATTTACAATTGGGATTGAGGAGTTCAACTGAGGAGAACCATTAAACCGATCTATCTAATGGTTATGGCGGGGCTCGGGATCCCCGGATGCAGATTGAAACATGCGACCTCCGGATTGCGAGTCTAACGCGTTCACCACATTCATGACCACACTGTCTTCTAGCACGTTTATAGAACAGCAACGTATATGTTGTGGTTATTTCATCCATGGTTCACTTTTTATTTTCCCTTTATTTTTAGGCATTGTAATGTATGATATTGAGTTTGGAACAAAGGAAGATAAAAATTAAGCCAAAGAAAAAATTGAACCACAACATATATACCAGAAACGCATGAGCGTACTCTTCAAATCTGACCTGCTGAATTTACTGCAAAAAAAGGACGCGAAAGATAAAATGAAGTTTGTTTCACCGAATATACTATGTGTAGCGTGAGAATGACAACGCAAAATATATCTCGCTTCTTGTTCCCCACGCAAGTCACGTTTTACTTGTCGCCCGTTCGTGTCATGACTGGTGTGTGGTAGTGGTGATGGCGGGGGGCATCCTCCTACTCTCTTCAGAAGTTCACTCCCTCTGTATTACTGTTAAAAACCATTAACTGAAAATAGAACAAAATATAGAACAGATCCTATCAAGCCCTTCTTAAACTAGTTTTTCTAGTTCACCAATAACGTCTTCCATACTAGGCCTGTCTTGAGGATTGTCGTGTAAACATCTACGAATGAGAGCTCTTAGTACTCTGTTTTTCACCATGGCGACTTGCTCGGCACGCCTGTCAGGATTTGGTAGTTTCCCGATGCAAATCTCGCAGATGAGAACACCAAAACTGTACACATCAACCTGAAGACGAAAAATAGACGATAACAATTAAAAATATAAATACATTTAGATAACAACACTTTCAGTTACACACCAGTACTTATCACTTTATGTATCATTTGACTCCTTTGTACACACAAACCACTTTCAAAGTTAGTAATCCATCCTAGGGCATAGGTCTAATTCCTAAAGAAGATTCAGATTATTGTAAAACCACAAATAGATCTTTTATATACTATTCTTTATTTCACCCAGCACTCGAGGCCGGAACTCGACCACTAAAATCTTTCACTGTTTACCCAAATACTCACATCTTCGGTCTTTGGTCTAGACTGTCTACTCGGGTGGGAGGGGGGGAGGGGTTACTCAGCAAAGTTTTGTACCGGCGAGTCCGCCCAGAGGTTGTGCGATTATCGGAGGCGAAACGAAGAGTGGAGGCCAAGTACAATATTCAAGGATGTATTATTTGATGATTCTAGATGATTACGCGATCAAGGCCTAAGGTCACTAACTTACCACACAATACATCAGGACGATATATATGTCGAACGTGGTTACTAAGGAAGAGAGTTAAGGGTTAATCCCACAGAGGCCCACCCCCTTACCATTTTATAACACTTTTTGACAGAAATAAGTATCCCCAAATCACAAAATCAGAACGGAAACGTTTTACTTTTTAACAGCCATAAAATGCATCTCTTAGCCCTTGGGTCTTTCTCCTTCGGTATATCGCAGGGATTCAATATTCTAAATTAGCCTGTGAACGGGCTCTTTGTTTGAAGATTAAGTTTAGCAGACGACATACCTTCACAGTCTGACTGTTAGTAAGTGCTTCAGGAGCACTGTATACTGCAGCACCTGGACAAACTGACAAGGTATGTTGCATGAAATTAGCAGCACCATAATCCGACACTTTGCCTCGCCATTGGTCCGCTTGTCGCCATAGCAACACATTGGCGCTGCTGATATCACGGTGGATGATGGGGCGTGGTTTCTTTTGGTGCAGGTAATTCAATGCACGAGCCACATCCAGAGAAATAACGGCCACTTCAACTGTAGAAAGAGATCGCTGCTCCAGCAATTTTCGCAAACTCGTTTCCATGAGCTCTGTCACGAACAAAGGACTTCCTTCATCGTTTGTTGCTCCGATGAATTGCAGCAAACAAGGATGGCGGCATTTCGAAGCAATGCTCATTTCCCGCTCAAACATTTCTCTGTTATGAGAGGAAAGGTTCAGAAGCTCCTTGTAAATCTGTTTCACGGCAACAGTGCAGCCACAATATTTGCCTTCGACAACACTTCCCCAGCCTCCCGTACCAAGGCATTTCTCTGTCAGCTGAATTTGATCTCGTGAAATTACCCAGTCAGGTAACTGTTGGAGTGAACTTTCCCTTAACGCTAATTGAGCTGTTAAAAGAGATATTTCTAGTTCATTCACTTCCTGTTCTTTTTCCCTCAGTTGTTCCCCCATGGTGGTATTTTCTTCATCTTTTTGTTGTAGCTGTCTTTGAGCATTTGTCAACTGTTGCGTCAACTCTCCCATTTGCCCATGAACATTTGTAAACTGTTGTGTCATCAGCCTCAATTCACCATCTCTCTCCTGTAGTTGCCCTTGAACATTTGTAAACTGTTGTGTCATCTGTCTCAATTCTCCATCTCTCTCCAGTAGTTGCCCTTGAACGTTTGTAAACTGCTGTGTCATCTGCCTCAATTCTCCATCTCTCTCCTGTAGTTGCCCTTGAACATTTGTCAGTTGTTTTGTCGCTTCCCTCAGTTGTCCGTCTTTCTGACTTAGTTGCTCTTGGACATTTTCCAGCTGCTGTCTCAACTCCATCAATTGTCCTTAAGGAAATAAAGATAGAAGAACGCCATTTTCTGCTTCGCCTCACAGCATGAAAAAGAGACAATTTTCTATGGTCTCACGCTCAGTGACGTTAGTGTAACATCTACATCGTAATTTTTAGGGAGTTATTATAACTCCAAAAGTGAACTAAAACTTTTAGGTACAGGATAACCCCTTTTTGGGGGTTGCTTTAACTCCTAATATAACTCCGAATTTGGGGTCATTTTTACTTCTGAAAAAGGGTTCTTTTTACTCCCTGTCTGGAGTTAAAATAACTCCGAAATGGGGTTATTTTTACTCCTTACGTGGGTTGTTTTTACTCTTTTTGGAGTTAATTTAACTCTGAAAGTGGAGTAAAAATTTTAGGTACAGGATAACTCCTTTTTTGGGGTTATTTTAACTCCTCAATATCTGGGGTCACTTTTACTCCTGAAAAACAGTTCTTTAAACTCCTTTTTGGTGTTAAAATAACTCCCCAAAAAATAACTCCACTGTAAGGAGTTAAATTAGCCCCACTAAAGGAGTTATTATAACTCCTTGAAAATTACTGTGTAGAGAGGATCAAACTTAGAGACTGAATCTTCTATAGTTGCCTCATTCTTAGGGGGATTCCTCTCAATTTAAATTGATTTATTTTAATTTTAGACCCAAAGTATTTGATCTCAACATAATAATGTACCTGGTATGTTGCTTGAATGTTTAATATTTTTTACTTTCAGTCTCCTCTCCTGTTGTTCTCTTGGTTACACTCATGGGCTGGACTTATTTTTCTTTCGTTTAAAAACAAAAATTACATTTCGTGTGACTGTTTTTGTTGTTGTTTATTTTTTGTTAATCATACGTGTATTGTGTCCATGACTGTGAGAACAGTCCAAATATCTTCTACTGTCTTGAACGATGAGGGATCCGCCGTATGGGGCCGTATGCCCCAGTCTCTCTGTTTAAAACACACTCTCTCTTTTCACCTCACCTAAAATGGCACCTTAAACGGCTCATCAGTGGAGCTCAATGATCCTGGGTACAATTATTCGTCTTAACCAATTGCTCCCTTAGTTAGATTCTCTTATATACCTGATTTTTCCTTTGTTTCAGTCTCCTTTTGCGTGTTTTCATTAGCATCTTTTTCTGTTCCAGGAACAAATCGTTCATTTCCACTTCCGAGTTTTCCAGCCTTTGAGAACAGAGCAAGACATGCCTCCTCAGATGATACCAAAGTAATTTAGCACAATAATCGTACTATATCCTAAACTATTTAAACTGTTTTTCTTTTTTTATTAGCAGCTTCTAAACCACGATCTGTCATAAATCCGTCACGAAAACGGTACTTATGTAGCCTGGTACCCAGGCTCTCTGTTTAGTGGAAGGGGGCAAAAAAAATGGCAGAGACGGTGCGAGGGAAAAAATGAAACAGGAAATTGGGAAAACTCCCTTTCCCCCGCAGGCGAAAGATATTTACAAAAATGTGCTAGTAATAACTTGACGCTTTTCAGTTTAATTTGTTCTTTTGGAAAACTTTGAATTCAGTGTGAATTCTTTTTCGCAAACGTCAATCGGGTCCGTGCACGGTTCGGCCAACCCTTTTTTTAAATTTTCGGTTCCATGTTGAGCAAACAGAAAGATATGAAATTGATATCTTTTTCGATTAATTCGTTTATAATGTTACAAGTGCCTAAATTGCTTTTGCTTTAAAAGCACCTTTTTATTGAAATTTTATAATATGACGGCGCCAAATAATTTTTGCACTTAAAAATAATGGTAAAATCTCCAAAAATTGCCAAACTTCCAGAAGTCCTTGTTTCTTTTCTTGAATCCGTAAATCTTATCCCTCCATAACAAAAATTACTCAATATCTTCTTTTTACTGTTTTATGCTATCTTTTTCCAAAAAAAGATAAACAAAATTTGACTTCCGTTTTATCGTTTTTCCATTTATGTATAAACAAACACAAAAAACGGAAAAACAAAAATCGACTTCCCTTTTATCTTTTTTCGTTTTTTGTACGAACAAACACAAAAAACGGAAAAACGACAAATGACTTCCGTTTTATCGTTTTTCCTTTTATGTACGAGAAAACACAAAAACGGAAAAACAAAAATCGACTTCCGTTTTATCTTTTTCTTTTTATCTACAGACAAACACATAAAAAGGAAAAACGAAAAATGACTTCCGTTTTATCGTTTTCCTTTTATGTACCAACAAACACAAAAAAAGGAAAAACAAAAAATGACTTCCGTTTTATCGTTTTTCCATTTATGTATAAACAAACACAAAAAAACGGAAAAACAAAAATCGACTTCCGTTTTATCTTTTTTCGTTTTTTGTACGAACAAACACAAAAAACGGAAAAACGACAAATGACTTCCTTTTTATCGTTTTTCCTTTTATGTACTAAAACAAACAAAAACATACAAACGGAAACTGACTTCCGTTCTATCGTTTTTCTTTGTAAGTACGACCAATCAATGTAAAAAAGAGCTGGATATAACCTAATTTTTCGTTTCTATTTTTTTTTCGTTTTCTCTGGCTCTTTAAGTGAACAAAGAGCTGGGTCGAGGGGGGGGGGGGGGGGGGGGGGTTTGAGTGGGGGTTGGTGGAGGGTCTCAATGGGGTGGTGGCTTTTACGGTTATCGGCTAAAATTTTGCCTCTTTTACCGCTATCGGTTAATTTTTTTCAGTTACGGTTAACGAAAAAGTTAAAAATTAACTTCTTTTGTTTCTAAAAGTTAAATATTAACTAACACGTATTTTTTTGTATCTTTAAAACAAAATAAAGGTCTTCGGATCATCTCGGGATGAAATAAACTATTCTTTACTTACTTACTTTTTATAAAGTATTCCACTTCTAATATTATTTTACACGTAGAAATGTCAATAGTCAATTTAAAAGTAATCTTTGTGAAAAAGCAAACGCAGACACGCAAACGCCCAACTCAAGGCCGTGGCGCGACATTCATTATAACAGAAATGGCCGTTTTCACACTAGAGAAGGATTATTCGTGTGAGACGGATTATCCGTTTGATGATTCGCGTCAGATAGGTAGTACGTCTTAATTTGAAAATGGAATAGTTTTAATTTTGAATGAACAATTCGCCTGACTTTTGAAGACGGAATTATCCGTTCCACATAGCCTGTGTACAGCCGCCTCCTCCCCCTTGAAAAAATCGGAGAAGCGGTGTCTGTGGGGAGGGCACGACTGTACACAGGCCAGTCTCAGACGGATGATCCATTTCTAGATTTAGTGTGAAAACGGCCAATAACAAAATTCCCTTGTCCAGTGTTGCCTTGTCCGTAGGCCACATTATTCCGCGCGGCTAATGCGTCTCGGGTCACGTGGTCCGAGCTAGTTCTCCATCGAAATGCCTTGACCGAGATTGCGTGGGAAGACGCCGTACAGGGACTAGGCATAATGTCTACCGTAGCGTCAGAGAAAAACAAGGAAATGTTGTTTATCGGCAACGTGTTTTAGAAACAGTGGCATCTCTGCGTGTTGTTTCACTAATGTTTCGAGGGCACGACCTCCAGAAAATTGCAAATATTAATTCCCAGCAAGAAGTCACACTTTCGCTATGGAAAGAATTAGTTCCCCGAGAGAGTGCCGGAAATGGAGCGTAGGTCTAGGTTAACACCTAAACTGGCGCTTCGCCTAACGTGCGTATGGAGTCACACTAGCGGCGAAATAAAAAACGCAACCATAAGTGAGTTTAGCACCTTCCTTAAAAGTAGCAAATCTAGTTAACAATTTCTTTTACGATTAACTCTTTTTTACCCTATTTACGGCTAACGGTTAAAATTTTTCAATTTTTACGGCTATCGACTAAATTTTTGGCCGTTTTACGCCTATCGGTTAACCCCATTGAGACCCTCTTGGTGGTTCAATTCGGAAACTCGTCTAGGTGTTGTTGGTCAGCAGTTTTTATAACCCTGGTATGCGTCTTTTTTCGCGGGTCCTTCAAAAATGGCGAGGATGGAAAACGTAGTTACTGCTCGCTACGTGAAGGAGCTTGTTGAAGAGCAAGGCAAAACACAAAAGAAGTAGCTGATATTCCAAGACAACAGCATCCAGCAGTGAAAGGACTATCTGAAAGGAGTGTCAGGCGATTTTGTGCCACGAATGGCATACGGCGTTATGTTGATATTCATAATGTGGTTACACCTGCGATTACTGAGGTGATTGTAGCTCCCCTTCATAATATTAGATTCAGGTAGTGTGTAATATCGTAGCATACTGTAAAATTCCGAAAATAAGCCCGGGGGCTTATATTTTTCAAAGGCCCTTTTTGAGGGGCTTATTTTTGGAGGGGCTTATATTCGGAGAGGCTTATCTACGGAAGGAAATTTGCGTTTCACTATCGATTGGGTTAGCCTTATAGCGGGTGGTTGCCAGGAGGCCTGTCGATCTCTCACTGACGGATCAGCCCGTCCTACGGAACCGACCTATCGCGGATTCTGAGCCGGTAAGAGTGGCATTCGTTTCAAGTAACGCATGCGCACCAACATAGTCGGCTGCCTAAGTGGCAACGAAAAGGGAAGTCAATTATCATTTTACCGTTTTTGGTGTTTGGTCGTTAATAAAACGAAACACGTTAAAATGGAAGTCGGCTTACGTTTTCCCGTTTTTTGTGTCTGTTCTTTGAAAAACCAAGAAACCATAAAAGGGAAGTCGATTTTTGTTTTTCCGTTTTACGTGTTTGTCTGTAGAGAAAAAGAAAAAGATAAAACGGAAGTCGATTATTGTTTTTCCGTTTTTGTGTTTTCTCGCACATAAAAGGAAAAACGATAAAACGGAAGTCACTTGTCGTTTTTCCTTTTTATGTGTTTGTCTGTAGATAAAAAGAAAAAGATAAAACGGAAGTCGATTTTTGTTTTTCCGTTTTTGTGTTTTCTCGCACATAAAAGGAAAAACGATAAAACGGAAGTCATTTGTCGTTTTTCCGTTTTTTATGTTTGTTCGTACAAAAAACGAAAAAAGATAAAAGGGAAGTCGATTTTTGTTTTTCCGTTTTTTTGTTTTCTCGTACATAAAAGGAAAAACGATAAAACGGAAGTCATGTTTCGTTTTTCGTTTTTTTGTGTTTGTTTGTACATAAATGGAAAAACGATAAAACGGAAGTCGAATTTCGTTTTTCGTTTTTTGTGTTTCTTCTTTCGAAAAAACAAAAAACGATAAAACGGAAGTCAAATTTTGTTTATCTTTTTTTGGAAAAAGATAGCATAAAACAGTAAAAAGAAGATATTGAGTAATTTTTGTTATGGAGGGATAAGATTTACGGATTCAAGAAAAAAAACAAGGACTTCTGGAATTTTGGCAATTTTTGGAGATTTTACCATTATTTGTAAGTGCAAAAATTATTTGGCGCCGTCATATTATAAAATTTCAATAAAAAGGTGCTTTTAAAGCAAAAGCAATTTAGACACTTGTAACATTGCAAACTAATTAATCGAAAAAGATGTCAATTTCATATCTTTCTGTTTGCTCAACATGGAACAGAAAATTTAAAAAAAGGGTTGGCCGAACCGTGCACGGACCCAATCGAAGGGTTCATAACAGTTCTTAGTCAGTAAATTGGCCGGAGTAACAATTGGGCCACTTTAAAACTACACGTGCCCCTTCTTATTATATCATATAGCATAATCTATGAGCCTTCTGTACATGCCACTATCAATGAAATGGATCGTTTCATTCAAACAGAGACGACTTTAGAATTTCAGCCAGTTCCAGGCGTTCAGACAGGGACGGACAGACAAGCGAGGCGTATTTTCATAAACACAACATATTGACTCGGAAGTAAGTACTCTCTCATTTCGTGACAAAGAACTGAATGATTTTACAAAATTATAATATGTTAATATTACTTACATCTCCGACGTCGACGTTCATGGCACTCAGTCTTCCTTTCTCGGACAGGATCCTACGAGCCTCGTCAGTTTCACAGCTGTTGAGTGGTGTTTGACCATTTTTGTTTTCTAGCTTTGGATCTGCACCGATATCTAACAACAACAGCAGCATTTCTCTTAAAATCTCGACATCTTCAGGCTCAGCAGGTTTATACTTCACAGCTAGATGAAGAGGTGTGTTACCCTCGGTGTTAACGGCATTTACATCACCCCCTGCATGTAAAATAAGCTTCATGGTCTCAACACAGGGAAGCTTGCACACTCTTCGCACACTGTCTTCTTTAATTGGAGTTTCATGCCACGCAGATAGATGCAGTAGAGTATTTCCATCACTGGTACGAGCGTTTAAGCGCAGGAATCTTTGAAGAAAGTCAGTCATGCTAGCATTTTGACCTTTAACTTTGTTGTATATCATCAAAAGATAGAGAGCATAATAAATCGTGTTTTTTTGCTCCTCGTTTCCATGCCCCTTCTGTGATTTTTCTGTGCGTTTCTCACTTGCAGTAACAAGTGTTTCAAATGCGTCTTCAATGAAATTTGGCCTTAGAAGTTTTCTTTTTTGTACCATTTTTACAAATGTAGATGTGTAGCTTTCGAGATCCTGTATTATTGAAACATCGTTGTTCATGGATTTCTGCATCGCTCTTTTCCACAAACCAAAACAAAGCTTGTACTCTTCAGAGTTACGTAAAACAGCTGCCCGGTATCTGATGTGGTAAAGATTTGCTGGATTGTCAGGCCCAAGGATTCTTTCTCTGATTATAAGTCCTTCCATGCCGATGGCATGATCATCACCTTCTAACAGAGCAAGTTCCTCTAAAGTTTGACTCTCTTTTCTATTTTGATAAGCTTCCACAGGTTCCATTTTCTTTTTAAGCATTGGATGTGCCAGGTCTTCATATCTCTCCTCCATCCCACGTTTCATATAACTAAACGCTTTCTCAGAGACACCAAAACTATCATTAGCAATGGTGGCACCAAGAAGTTCAAGAGCATCAATTCTCTGTTCCTTTGTACATTCCGGTCTGTTGATAAGATACTCGACGATTTCAATGGAACTTTTATCACAGGCCAAAAAAAGTGGTGTTAAACCTTGATTATTTGGCAGTTGCGATGCTCCAAGAGCCAAAAGTTGACTGACTACCTCCAAGTGGCTCCGTTCAATAGCGCCGTAAAGTGCAGTCTTGCCATCGGTGTCTTGTAGATCCACAAAGGCGCCTTTGTTGATAAGATAAGATATAATGCTTAAATGGCCATAGTCACACGCTGCCATTATAGGGGTGCCTTTATACTGATTGCGTGCATTCACATCTGCCCCGCTCTCAACCAAACATCTCACAATGTCAAGGTGTCCTTCGTGGGCAGCAGCCCTCAAAGGAGTAGAACCCGTCGATGTTCTGCTGTCAACATCCGCATTTCGTTCGATTAACAGTTTCACAACATCAAGATGACCAGAAGCAGCAGCGGCACATAAAGGTGTACAGCCCTCTGTAACACTGTTCTCTATCTTAAGCGTTCCTCGAGCCTCGATGTCTGCTTCATATCCCAGAAGAGTCTTCACAGAATTCAGGTGTCCATTATGAGCAGCGATGATGAGAGGAGTGACAAAATGGCTGCCATCTTTAGTTTTCGCTTCCAAAGTGCTTTTTTTTCTTTGTTCATTTTTCAGCCGCTTTAAAAGTTTAGTCAGATCAGAAGAACCGTCACGAGCAGCTTGATAAACTTTAGTTACACTACCACTCACGGATAGCTTATCAGCCATTTAACATTAAACTTCAGCGAACCCGCTCTAGATGGAATTTACTACGTTTCCCTTGAAAGATATTGAATGCACTCGGGTAAGCACAGTTTTTTGAGGTCATAACCTCGTATAAGTAGACTCTAAAAATTCATTCGCACAGTAAGAATCAGAACGTCATATCAGATGACTGACGTTTATATAGTTCAGTCTATTTATTTCGGCAAAATGGTTCATGTTATTTCATTTCAGCACAGGTCTTCTTATACGAATCATATTCTATATTCTGTTTGAATAAACACTCAGTGGCTTTAAACTGTCATTCGTGATACGCGTGATTCCCACCAATTATATACACTCATCACCGTGTCTCGCTAGAAAAGGAAAGTGTCACGGAAGTGTGGAACAAATTTGTTGTTTCAGAGGAGGTAGGGGAGCTCGCTTCATGGGTAGGAAGTCCTATTGTAGCTGCGAGTTCCTATAATTTCTCCCTTTTTCTCATTATAAAATTACCGATCTAACTCAATCTAACCGTTACAGTTCAGTACCTAGCCCAATCACTGAAGAGCAGTGTTATTAAAACACTGTGGCTGTATGCTCTGCAGCCGGGAAGTTCGGGGGGGAGGGGGGGGGGCGGTTACTTGAGTTAATTTTTGCTGGGTATGTGCCGCTGGCCTCTTAGAGCCCCTTCCCCATTATAGTCTTTTTTGTAGCCGTTTATAGACCTCATCTTAGTTAGCCTGCGAATGGCAGAAGTTTCTCCTCGCTCATCGCCGGGCACAACACTTTACCAAAATCAAACAGGAGAAACGTACAATTGAACAAATTTGCATTTGGAACCCCATGACTACCGGATTTATTATGTAAACATTGATTAACGTCATCAGTATGGAATTTCTGTCGCTGACTGCCCAGACGTTCCTCCTCGCGAGACGTCCCTCAGCGGCGTTGAGCTAGGAGAAGGGTCGAGAAACGTCTGCCGCTCGCAGGCTACATCTTAGTCACTTTTGGGCAAATATGTAATTTTCGCGATCCCAACTTAGTCACTTTTTATTTTTATGAATTGACCCATTTTGTGGATTGAATGAAGAACACTTTACTTTTCATCTACAGTAGAAACATTCTGGTACGTTTGCTAACCGTAAGGATCGATATGAAGAACTGTCTTACCGGTAAGCACTACATGGTAGCACACCATATAGTCGTGCAACATAAATTAATTGAACACTGGGTACAACGTCTTGTAAGTAGTACGCATTTCTCAAAACTCCTCTTTTCTGTACTTTCTACTCCTCGCTTGTCTCTTGTGTCCTTTTATGTACTTAGTAGTCCTTTTCTATCCTAACTAGTCCTTTTGTGTCCTTACGAGTCCTTTCCCGTCCTTACTAGTCCTTTTCTGTCCTTACTAGTCCTTTTCTGTCCTTATTAGTCCTTTTTAGTCCTTACTAGTCCTTTTCCGTCCTTTTATGTCCTCGTTAGTCCATTTCTGTTCTTATTAGTCCTTTTGTGTCCTTACTAGACCTTTCTTGTCCTCATAGTCCTTTTCTGTCTTTACTAGTCCTTTATATTAGTCCTTTTCTGTCCTAACTATTTCATTTATGTCCTTATTAGTCCTTTTATGTCCTTTAGTTCTTTTCCGTTTTTACTTGTTCTTTTCCGTCCTTACTAGTCCTTTAGTGCCCTAAGTCGTCCTTTTCTTTCCGTACTAGTCCTTTTCGGTTCTAACCAGTCCCTTTCCGTCGTTAATAGTCCTTTTATTTCTATGTAGTCTTTTTTTGTTTGATTTGGTGCTAATTTTTTCCTTATTACCCGTGTTCTTTCTTGAAAGTCTTTCAGTACTTGTAACACGCTGACCATGTGTAATATGACTGTTGTATTATGAAGGTAAAAATAATGATGATGCAAAAACTCAGGATTAACAGTAACAATAATAATAGTACTGATGGGATCCTGTACTAGTAGTAATAATGATATGATGATGATGATGATGATGATGACGGAAATAATAATAATAATAATAATAATGTCAACTTAATGACGCAATAATCTTTCAGGCACCACTCAAGAAGCTTCTTGGACATTCATAAGTCTGGTTCGGACATCTCAGATTATATTTATACAACGAACTGTAATACAACTGTAAGCACAATTGCACACCTGATACGCATTATTGTTTAGACAACGAACTGTAATACAATGACATTGGTCTTTTTGTAGTCCCACCTCTAGTTCCCGAGCCGTCAAATGAAGCAGGCACTGCAGGTGCTGTTGAGGGGGCCGCGGAAGGTAAGTATGAAAGTCTTTATAACTGGGACAAAACTTGTGACACTCTGAAGCTGTGTAAACTGGAAGAGGGATGTATTATGAAGGAAAATAAGAGAAGAGAAGTATTTCAACTGATGCAATAACTTAGTAGTAGTCGATAGTGAGAGCGCTGAAGGGAGTGATTACATTGACCTCATAATGCTGCGGCGACAAAAAAAAAAGGGTCGTAGCATGGGTTAGACCCGGGTTAGACATCATCTCTTTATATTACAGCAAACTCTTACTATACAATTTCAATGGTGTCTTTGCAGTTACCGAGTCGAATGAAGCGGACGGAGCAGGATCCGGACACGTTGAAGGAAGCGCTGAAGGTAAATTATGGAAGTCTTAATATGAAGATAAATAATATTAAAATTTGTCTTCTCATTCTTTTTCTGCTGTATCTTTTTTTTCTGTTGTACTATATTGGAAAAAAGGTATGAGAAGCAGGTCAGATTAGGTAAAAAATTGCAAACTCGATTAATACCAGTCACTGTTCACATTCGTGTGAAGTCAGGATTTGAGCTTTTTACAGCAAACAGCTGGTAATTAAAAATTGACAGTGTGAAATGTGGATGTCAAATTTATTTTATTATGCTACCCTTTTATTCCATTCCAGCATCTGGTGATAGTAACAAAGAAAAGAGAAATGATCACGAGGTAAATACCCCTTTTTCCATAGTTTCATGTTTATAGATACGACAAAAGTGAAGGATCAACTTTTCTCTTTTTTCATTAGCTAACACGACGACTCGCTTCTCAATAAAACTTGAAACAAATTTTACACAACGACTTAATACAAAACAAAGCTTAACTGTTATTAAAGACAGTTAAGAGGTCAAATTTTCAAGACACGCATTAAGTAATACGCCATTGCAAGATGGTGTCATTTTACTATAACTGCGAGAATCCATTTCGTTTTCAATTTTTTTTCAGCCCAGCGAGGTTAAATTGACAAAAGCCCTAATTTGCACAAGAATACAAAAACCTGTATGGAGTCTGGTATTGATATTAAAATGACGTAATCTTGCGAATTGTCTCTTCTGAAACTGTCTGGTTAATGTACAAGCAAAACACAAAACACCACTCATGATTACCAATTTATGACTTACGACAAACATGTACAACAAGAGCTGTTTAATTGATTGGAAGACGTCAACATTTCAAAGCACCCATGCAGTAACTCTTAGCACAAAAACAATTCTGGTATGCAATTTCCAATATCAAATGCGTATACATCGACCAACGAATGTATTTTATGTCTAATTTCGTGATGGAACACTTTATACTTATCAGCTAGTTATATTAGCTTATATTTATCTATTATAATTTGTTTTTATGTAGGGTCCCAGTGATGACGATCTTGAGCTTGTGCGAGTGGTGAATGGTGAGGACATGAATTTTTATCAGCGAAAAATCCTTTAGGACACATTCGCAACTGATTTGTAATTTGTTGCTCATTTCAGTGTTAAAATGGAATTGGAATTATGATGCATACCTGTACTGAATGACGCATTCTTTAGGAAGACACCCAGCGCCATACTTAAATTGCTTAACTGCTGTAAAAATAATTAGAAGAGCTTTTCTTTACTTTTAGATCTAGAATCCTCTGTGAATCAATCGGGACGAGAAAAGAGGCAACTGAGGGAAAGAAAAGGTAAAGACGCCGGTATTTAGTAAATTACATTCATTTCTTGCTCTAACTAAGACACAGATTTGCTGAAATCAAACGGTGACCAGTCGCCTGCTTATCTTTTTTCCAAATCTGTCTCAAACTTGCAAATTCCATTGGGACTCGTTCCGAGAGAAACTGAAAACAATGCTAATTATGCAAAGTGTTGGCGGGAGAAATTCATTGACTCAGCCTTTACGAAAAAACGAAACTGTATTTACTACTCTAGGAAAATTTCGAGTTAGAACTAAGACATCTTCAGAAGATTAAATAACAAAATTTTGGTTAACATTCCCCCTTAACTTTCTGTTACCAACCACTTAAATCTTCTTGCTTCCAGCAAATAAACGCTATGGCCAAGAGTACTCACTTTCCGCGAGAGAAAAAAACGTTCCAGCAAAAAGAAAACAGAAGTCGAACAAGGTATAATGAAGCTTCTTCGTTCATAAACTATTATATTTTTGACCGTCATAAATGTTTTTCTCAATGGCTTTATAGTAGATTTATTACCCTAAAGAATTAAGTGGATTCGGTACAAATATTTTACTTTGACGAGGAAACCCGTTTATTCGATAGTTACAATGTTGCCACTTTGTTCTTTTAAAAGAGTGATATGCTAAGCTAAGCCGTTAAACAGTTTGATGAATGCTAGAACAACCACAGCCCGTCAATGTTAATAATTCCCCATTAGTATCCTTGTCCGGTGTTTGACATCATATTGCTGAAAGCGCTACCGTATTAAAGATTTACCTTTGCTTTCATATATTTCTCTTGCAGTGAATGAATCATTACTTGACCTGTCAGCTTCGAAAGGAAACCCGCCAAACTTGACCGGACATTAAAAAAGTTCAGGAGAAAAAATGCTAGCTTAGCTGTTTTTCTTACACCCGAATATATAGTCTCTATCCTCGGGGGTACTAGAGCAGTTACTGTAGCTTCCATTAATTGATTTTTGAAAGTACAACTGTTGCTTGGCGCAGCATGCCCAATTATCGATCATAACAGGCGACTCCAATCAATCAAGTTGTTATTGAGGACATGATGTTTCATGCAAACACCAAACTGTTTTTCTTCTTTTGATAATGAAAGATACCGTTTTTTTTCTTATCAGTACTGCAAGGACACTATCTGTTAGGTTTAGCAGAAGGACTTAAACCTTTTTTAAAACAGATGAAGAAAGTTTCTTTTGATCAAGACTCAAAGATCACTTGGAGACTAAGTTTCAGTGGAGATATTTTTTAAGAAGTACATGTAAAAGCAGTAAGATTGTTGTAATAAACTGAGTGGAAAACTACTATGAGCTTGCATCTTCTTTTTTATATCCCATGACGGATGATATTCTGTGCTGATTTGAAGAATATACCGCGTCGGAGAAAAAATGGTAAATAACTGGGATTGATGTCAATTACCACCCACTTCGCAAAAGTAATCTTTTCGTAAAAAAAAAATAATAATCCCCAAACCTGTTCGTTTCTGTCCAACTTGGAATGGCACCACTAACGTGACGACAAAAAAAATCTCCTAGCTTCGCAAAAAACTATTTGGGCCAGGAAACTGACATCAAGAAAAACAACGGGACTTAAAACAGAGACAAACAGAACGCAGAACAGAAAAGGTCTGTTGAGGAAAGAAAAAGAAAAGTAGTAAGGACGGAAAAGGGCTAAATATTATATAAAGGGACTAGTATGGTCAGTAAAAGACTAGCAAACACCAAAAAGGACTAGTTAGGACATAAAAGGACTAGTTAGGGCGGAAAAAGGACTAATAAGGACGGACAAGGACTAGTTAGAACATAAAAGGACTAGTTAGGACGCAAAAGAATAGTAAGGACGGAAAAGGACTAGTAAGGACATAAAAGGACTAATAAGGACGGAAAAGGACAAGTAAGGACATTAAAGGACTAGTTAGGACGGAAAAGGACTAGTTAGGACACTAACGGACTAGTAAGGACAGAACAGGACTAGTAAGGACGGAACAGGACTAATAAGGACGGAAAAGGACTAGTAAGGACACAAAAGGACAAGTAAAGACGGAAAAGGACTAATAAGAACAGAAAAGGACTAGTAAGGACGGAAAAGGACTAGTAAGGACATTAAGGGAAAAGTTAGGATGAAACAGGACTAGTAAGGACAGAAAAGGACTAATAAGGACAGAAAAGGACTAGTAAGGACAGAAAAGGACTAGTAAGGACGGAAAAGGACTAATAAGGACATAAAAGGACTAGTAAGGACATAAAAGGACTAGTAAGGACGGAAAAGGACTAGTAAGGACAGAAAAGGACTAGTAAGGACGGAAAAGGACTAATAAGGACAGAAAAGGACTAGTAAGGACGGAAAAGGACTAGTAAGGACGGAAAAGGACTAATAAGGACATAAAAGGACTAGTAAGGACGTAAAAGGACTAGTAAGGACAGAAAAGGACTAGTAAGGACGGAAAAGGACTAATAAGGACAGAAAAGGACTAGTAAGGATGGAAAAGGACTAGTAAGGACATAAAAGGACAGTAAGGGCGGAAAAGGACTAGTGAGGACATAAAAGGACAAGTAAGGAGGAAAAAGGACTGGTTAGGACATTAAGGGACAAGTTAGGATGATACAGGACTAGTTAGGACAGAAAAGGACTAGTAAGGACGGAACAGGACTAACAAGGACAGAAAAGGACTAGTAAAGACGGAAAAGGACTAGTAAGGACATAAAAGGACTAGTAAGGACATAAAAGGACTAGTAAGGACGGAAAAGGACTAGTAAGGACATAAAAAGACTGGTTAGGACGGAAAAGGACAAGTAAGGACGGAAAAAGACTAGTAAGTACACAAAAGGACAAGTAAGGACGTAAAATAACTAGTAAGGACATAAAAGGACTAGTAAGGACGGAAAAGGACTAATAAGGACAGAAAAGGACTAGTAAGGACATTAAAGGACTAGTAAGGATATTAAAGGACAAGTAAGGACAGAAAAGGACTAGCAAGGACGGAAAAGGACTAGCAAGGACGGAAAAGGACTAGTAAGGACGGGAAAGGACTAGTAAGGACGGAAAAGGACAAGTTAGGATGATACAGGACTAGTAAGTACGGAAAAGGACTGGTTAGGATACTAAAGGACTAATAAGTACAGAAAAGAAGTAGTTTTGAGAAGTGCGTATTGCTTACAAAATGTTGTGCACAATGTTCAATTAATTTATGTTGCACGACTATATGGTGTGCTAACATGTAGTGCATGCCGTCTTACCCGCAAAAATCCGAAAATGTATAGTTAATCCAGTCGTGAAAATGCGACCCCATCCAGCGGCACATCCCCATTAGCCTCTTATAAGGAAGTACCCCCCTCCCCCGGGGGGAGAAGGTCTTAAAAAACTAAATGCCCGGCAGTCAGAAAATGTTCTAGAATCCTTTTTCCTTTTTCTAATCTTTTGTCGTCACGCAACGCTCCTCCCCACGAGTACTAAAAACGGCTGTGTAGCAGACTAATCTTCAGTAGAATTATTAAGCGATCAGGGAAACAAGAATGGCTTTGCAACCGAGCGGTTTCGGTTTCTTGGCCATAGAGTAGATGCGACGCCGTTTCGACATAAAAAAGTTGGGAAAATTTTAAAATGTCATGAGAAGCAGAGCGTGACTCACGCGCACGTTTTCATCCAAGCTCAATACCCTGCAGTCTAAAAGTCCTAAGAGCCAGCTAGAAAGGAAGAAAGCCTTCTCTTAAACTCCACAATGTACACACTAGTCTAGAGTTAGTGGATCAAGGTTTCCCCGAAATGATAACAAAAATACTGGCAGTGCTTTAATCTAATTTTGAACTTCATTTTGCAACCTCGAGCACAGGTCACCCAAACTTAATTTAGTATACAATGGGCGATTACCGTATTTATTCGATTAACCGCCCTGGGCGCCTAATAAATTTTTGGACCTTGAGAGTGGGCGCTTATTCGAGGCTGGGCGCTTTTTAAATTTTCACCATTTTCAGCAAGTGAAGTATGTTTATTTTGCAACAAAACAATAAATGCTAATAACAAAACGCGAAGAAGTAACAAAGCAAGGTTTCTGTAAAATACTCTGAAGAAAACTCCGTCCTCTGGAAAGTCTCTTATTAAAATTTATTCACTCAAGTGGGTGGGGTGGGGGTGAGCGCTTATTTGAGTTTGATTGGGAGGGGGAGGGGGTGGGCGCTTATTGGAGGCTGGGCGCTTATTAACTTTTTCTGCCTTTAGGATGGGGGCTTATTCGAGGTGGGCGCTAATTCGAGGTTGGGCGCTTATTCGAATAAATACGGTACAAAGAAAGCAACACCGTACAAGGAGGGTTATGGGCTCCTGACCGTACAAGATCATTCTTAGCCTGTGAAAAGACACTCCCGTTCTTTTTTCGAGGGGAGTAGGCGTCTTTACACAGGCTATCTGTGAATCGCTGACGTTTTCGTGTTCCGGTATACAATGGCATAAATTATTTTTGTTTGTTTTTCCTCTGACAGTCGAAAAGGTGTTGACAGACCACCACACTTTTGTCTAATTTTACTACTCAAGACCGGCACATGAAGCCGGTATACAGACCCCTCTTGATGTCTGTAAACAGGCTAGCCGAAAAATTATTCGCAATTTCGACGCTGAAATCCAAATAGACTGCAAAACAGTCCGTATTTTTGCATATTCAAGTAAGCGCGAGCAGTCAAACGAAAGGTCTGGAACGAGGCTGAAAACGGAGTGTGAGGCTCGCGCGCTTCGCGCGCGTAAGACTCGTACGCTACGCTTTAACGATTTCTTTACTGATTTTGAGAAAAAAACCGACTGTTTTGCAGTCTAAAATCCAAATATACTGATCTCTAATTTAGTGTTGATTTCTGTACGTCCTTTACTTCTCTTTTGTTTACAATAGGCCACCGGCAGAGAACAGATGCACCCGCAACCGGTACAGCAATAAAAAAAATTGATCGGTGGTCTCACTTCACATGCCTATTTCCAGAGAGCCGAAATACAAGTAAACGTAGCACACAGACTAGGTTTTTCCTAGCCTCCCATGAAGACTTGAGGGATGAAAAACGAGCTTCCCTAAAAACCCCTGCGTGGGGGGCTAGATTTTTCCCGGGGAATCTATTCCCCGGGGGGGGGGGGTACTCGCAGAAAAATTGGGTAGGGGTGTGCGGCCCGCTTCCCAAAACCCTTACCCTATTTATGACCAAAATCTGCGATTTTCCCTACCCTATTTATGACCTAACCAAAAATTTGATACCCTATTTTGTGAAGGGCTTTTGTTGCTTGTATTTTCTAGCCTACAAAGCAGCCGGTGGAGAGGAAGGCAAAGCGCGGATGGAAGGAGGGGGACATGATAAGGAAGTAGCTTGTTCGAAAAAAGTGCATTCAAGACTACAGTGCAAAAATCGTTACTCTATTTATGACCAAAATGGCGGCAAAATAGGCAAAATCGATACCCAATTTATGACCAAAACGGCTGAAAAACCCTACCCTTTGGGGCCGCACATACCTATGTAGCCCATATTAGGGAGTACCCCCCCGGGATCTATTCTGACATTCATTCACCAATCACAATACCGGAAATTACTTGCATCATGGCATTAACATTACAAGCAATGCTTTCCCCTACATTCCGGGGAAACGCCACGCAGGCGATTTTAGGGAGCTCCCCTAAAAACGCCTGCTTGGGAGGCTAGGGGAGGGGAGACGGGATACGGGAACATGATTCACAGACTTCTCTCTCCCCGGAGGGGCGTCTGCTACCACCACACTTGCGCACAGAACGCCGAAAATCTGTCAAATCCGCGTAGCACTGGGGAACGGTCGCTTTCTTCCTTCAATATGGCGTCCAAAGTCACGAATCATTCGCCGTGAACTTCCCGCAACGTTTCTTCATGAGGATGATCAGGTAAACCAAGAACGATGTGTAGCTCGAACTCTAATTCTACACCGACTACACTCCCACCTATAGTTGCACACCTGCAAATTCAACAAATTCAGCCTATTAAAATTCACTGCACTTGCATGATGGCGGGTGAAAATAGGGTAATCTTGTATTCACCCCCTTTCTCTATGGCTATGGGCACTCGTTCATATTCAAACTCCCAGTGACGTTTTGGTGGGTGGGGGATGGGATAGGGTGAGTGTTAAAATTTGAAATGAGTGGTTTACATTTTGTGGTACCCATGCACACTTTTTTAAAAAAAGATATCTCTTGATGGAAGTTTAAAAAATTGCTTATCCTGTATGTAAACCAAAATGAATACTGGGTCATTAAATGAGGTCTTTGTCTTAAAAACGGTAGCAAAATGAACCTATTTTGCCTACACTACCCAGATAGACACCCACACAAGAATAAATACAGGGGCCTGTAGGTCAGCAAAAACCTCAAAGCTAGTTTGTTACAAAATTATCATTAGATTACAAGAGCACACTTGATTACAAAACACCCTCTGGCAAAAAACAAACCTTGAAAGAAGCTAAGTACAACACTGCCAGATACGAAAACCCAGAACCACTTTGTGGAAAAAAGGGAACGTACATCACTGCCTGCTGAAATCAGCTGCGGTGCCGACAACTCAGGGGCAGAGGTACACAAAAACTGCCTTATTGGAACTGAATTTCTTGGGTAGTTAATTTCGCAATTTTGACAAGAGAGTATTTCGCAGAATTTTATTTTCATGATTTTAACAGGCAAATGTGAAAAAAGGACAATAAAATTCACAATTTAACCATTCTCAGTTTCATTTTATTTTTTCAAAAGTCTGAACCTTTAAAAACTTTTCGATAAACTGCAACAAATAATGTGTGAAATCTTTTCAAACTATTTAAGTTATTTCAAAAGTGAAGATACAAAAAGGAGCTTACCAGTAAAACCAGTTTGTCCATACATATCCTTTATATGTCAATTGTTGCTATTACAAGTTAATTCTTTTTTTGAAATTTTTCTATATGGGTATAAAATTTGTCGTGCTTAAAAATCATCAGGATTTATTTTCGCGATTTTTCTACAATCTCCAAAGACGTGAACTTAATTACCAGTAAGGTAGCTTCCAAATGCCTATAAACAAATTATATAACAAAATTGGAAAATAGAAAAGTTAAAGGAGCTCAAATGAACGCTGACCTAGACTGATCCAAATTTGCGAATATGTACAACTAATTAAACATGTCTAAAAAAACTACCCACAATTTTTCCTAGCCAAGCCATTCCTCTGGTCCATGCCAGCAAAATAGCTATTTCTGTCTGTTCTGTTATACTACACTGTTGTAAATACCATTTTTTCACTTAAACAGGGTCAGGGTTTGAAGACCTCAGCAGCACAACTATACTCAAACTCCCCTTTAGTGCACCCACCATTACCTGAACATATGTAAAGAGGCCAAAATCTGGAATTACGTATTTCTGATTGGTCCACACACAAAACATCTAGTACAGTTCTGTTCTGATTGGCTTAGAGGTTTTATGTTTTCTGGATAATTTTTGACACTTGCAATTAAATGGTGTTTGAATAAGATTTAGTTGATTCATTTAGATAACATACTCCCCCAGGTTTAAAGGTGATGTTACTTGGATCTGCGACAAAGCATTGCAATGTTAAAACAGTGTTGCAACCACTTGAAACAATCCAGAGGGGGACTCCGCATATGAGAGAGGTGGGGATGCTCGTTGTAAATTTTGAATTAGACCCCTAAACCTTTTTTTGACCCCTAAAAGTGAACATTTTAAACTTTGATTACATGAATTGAGTAAATAAAACGAATTGAAAAAAATTAATATAATTTTTTAATATTTCTTTGAGTGCAACCGTAAAAGAGACCTTTATGGTTAGATATAATAGTGTTTTACCCAGAACACCCTAAGATTTAGTTGATTCATTTAGATAACATACTCCCCCAGGTTTAAAGGTGATGTTACTTGGATCTGCGACAAAGCATTGCAATGTTAAAACAGTGTTGCAACCACTTGAAACAATCCAGGGGGGGACTCCGCATATGAGAGAGGTGGGGATGCTCGTTGTAAATTTTGAATTAGACCCCTAAACCTTTTTTTGACCCCTAAAAGCGATCATTTTAAACTTTGATTACATGAATTGAGTAAATAAAACGAATTGAAAAAAATTAATATAATTTTTTAATATTTCTTTGAGTGCAGTTCCCTAAAAGAGACCTTTATGGTTAGATATAATAGTGTTTTGCCCAGAACGCCCTAAGTGAGACCAAAATCCAAAATTTACACCCCTAAGCGAGACGATGAGCATCCCCACCCCTTTCATATATGGAATCCCCCCCCCCAGGGAAACAATGTTGTAACACTGTTTGTGCTCAAAATTGTCTTCTTGAATTGTCCTGTGTAACATCACCTTAAGTTTGTATAATTTTCATTTTTGTGGTTGATAATACGGTCAAACCACCCATAAGTGACCACTCAAAATGTGAAGAGTTGGTGTTCACTTATCAGAGGTGGTTGCTTAATGAGAGTCAAACTGCAGGAGGTCTTTTATGAGGAGAAATCTGCCGGAAACATCAGATCTAGGTTTTGGAGAGAATGTGTTGGAAACATTTTTAGGTAACAATAATATTATATGTAAATCCATGTTGTTTCTAAAAGTTTGTCTACTATGCTGAGTAACATAGTAGATGTTGGGAATGCAAAAAACAGAACTACATTACATCAGGTGGTTGCTGCTCAAGAAGAGGTTGAAAAACAGTGGAAAATCTTAAAACCCTCATGCTAAACAATGGTTGCTGTTGTTTATGGGGGCAGTCGTTTACAAGCGTTTCCAACCATAAGGCTTTGACAGGGAAAAGTGTGATGGTTTAACATTTAGATATTAAAAGTGGTCACTTATGGCAGGTGGTCGCTTAAATGAGACATGGTCACACATGGAGGTTGAACTGTAATATTGAAATAAAACTCTAGATGATATTACCTATGACAGAAATAATCTTGTGTTAGTTTTTTAAAGAAATGATAACTGAATATAGCCATCATTATTGTTTTTGAGGACAGGTCGGCCACATGGCCTGTGGAAAAATATGTATATATATCAGGCATTCTTTTTCTTCCTCTATTCTCAAAGAAAGAGCCATATGATATCATAGGTTAACATAGGTATTAAATATCACATTGTCCTTCCTGCCTCGTGCCCCCCCCCCCCTCCCCGCCCAACTCCACTTTCTAAGGGAAATTTAATATATCCTCATACTGTATCCATTATCAACCATAAAGTTTGATAAACTATAAACTGAAATAGCAACAAGTGAGTAGGTACATTGTACTTTTGGTTACAATCAATTTGATTGCTTTATTTTCAGTGCATAGCCATTGAGGACATTAATCCACAAACCCCAGTTCATTTCCTGGTTATACCAAAGAAAGAAATACGAAAGATAACTGATGCTACAGATGAGGATGAACAAGTATGTTGTTTCTTTTTAACTACCCCTTGATTTTTGTATGACTGCTCTGTTAATACATTAAGGATATTGCTGTTATTGCAAGTTAAATTTACTGGGGTCTGGACAATTTGCGAGCCAGCGAGCCATACAAGCTGTGGGGAAAAATAGAGTTTTATGAAATTGTAATTGTAATTTCCTGCTTAGTTCCAAGGTTTTGCTGATGGAATATTTGCAGAATTATGCAGTATTGATCGACTTTCACTGACGAGGGTTAAGTGCTCATTTCACTGAGTAGGTTTAAAAGTCACTTTATGGATTAGGTTTAAGTGATGTTTTGGTTAAAATTTTTTTTTTACGGATTAGGGTTAAGCACTTTTTGGCGTTAAACACTCATTTACTACGGTTAGCTTTTGGTTACTTTTTTTCGTATTTACTGCTTTTTCTCTTTTTTCCTATTTTTCTTTTGCATGGCTCGCTGGCTTGCACTGTGTCCTAACTCAATTTATTGGATGAGTCAATTATTTAATATCCTCAGACAGCTGTTATCCCAATCAGGAATTTGGAATGGTGTGTGCCATGGGAACCCTGAATCCATTAGCCCATTAGTATAGAGTCACACCTTTAAACAGTTGACACCCATGAGATCAGAGTAATGACGTTTGGGTTCCCTTTAAGGGTATTTTGGACTATCAAACTATTGACTAAAAACGTACCCCTACTCTGGCCCCCTTATAGCTTCATCGGGGGGGGGGGGGGGGGAGTTACTTCCTAGAAGTAGGCTAATGGGTATGTGTCACTGGATGGGGTCGCATTTTCATGACTGGATTGACTATTGGGTTATTCCAGAAAAAATCCACACCCCCCCGACGGATGGGGTCCTTTTTTAACCCCCCCTCTCACCTGGATTTCCTGAAGCACAAGACCCCCCCCAACTGGATTTCCAAGTTGGAAGACCCCCCCCCCGCCTGGATTTCCGGGAAAAATAAAAGGCTTAAATTTAATTTATTTTTAATGGAAAATACACGCAAACACGCCTAAATGTTTTTGTTTTAATTTCTAAAGCTTCAGCTTATATTAAACTACGAATTCTATCGCGTGGAACTGAAAAACGAAAGGAGCAAAAAACAAAAATGCGAATCGACACCTGAACGAGTGTTTACATAATTTCTTAGCTTATAAAATCACTCTTGGCGGCTCTCTGGGTACGAGTAGAAATGTGTCAGGCGTTTGACGCTCTTCGTGACATCAACGTTGCGAAGAGTTCCTTCAGGCCCGTTCTTTAGTATCTTTCTCGCGTTTTCTGCTATAAAAGGACCTGTAAAGCAACTTAGATTATCATTTATGTCAGGTGAGAAATATATGAACAAAACATTTTGACTATTTTCAGGGTCTGAAAGCGCTTAAGTGTCATCGAACTAAATGTTTGATTTGTATCAACTATCGGTCGAAATGACCCCTGCAGAAGACTTTTTTAAGGTCAACCCCCCCTCCCGCCTGGATTTCCGGAGTCTTCGACCCCCCCTCCCGTGAGAATTTCCAGAATCCCATCCGTCGGGGGGGTGTGGATTTTTTCTGGAACAACCCATTATGAGGTTGCATTTTTATAAGAGTTACTAGAATGGAGTCGCCCATCTTCAGGCTTTTGGGGGTCAGAAAATTCAGGTATGTAGGGATTTAAAAATAGAAAGATTTGCAACACATTAAGTTGTAATAAATGTGTCAGTTCATTTCAGGGTAACCAAGTTAAAAGGCTTTATAAGGTAGATGCATAAACAGAACGTGACTAAGTTGGGATTGCAAGAATTACTTTTTTCCCAAAGTGACTAAGATGGAGTTTATAATATGGCCACAGAAAAAACTATAATGGGGTAGGGATTCTGAGATGCTAGTGGCACATACCCAGCAGAAATTAACCCAAGTAACCCCCCTCCTTTCCCCGAGGAGTTTCATAGACATAATCAGGGCTGTGCTCTAGCAGAGCCCGGTGGCCCCTGGTGCCCAACTTTTGCCCCCCGCGCAACTAGAAAATCTCAGATTTTTCATACAAATCATATGCTGGGCACCCTAGATTTTACATTTTCAGAGCACTGGGCTTCCTTCAATTTTCCTTAGAACAGAGCCTTGCATAATAGGCCTCCCTACAGACAGCTCTGATACCTGCACTCTGCCCAAAGATTTGAGACTTTGTAAGGAAAAGTGGAATAGCAGATCAGGCTAGAACTGGGGAATTCTGGATCCTGTTAACCCGTCCTCTCACCTTCAACTCCTTTTTGCACCCAGTCGCTTTGAGAGAGAAATCCTTATAATGAAAATGTATCAGGGCTGTCATTAATTTTTAGAGCCGCCCATAGCAAATAAAGATTCACCCTTAACATCTCCCCAAAACTTTATAGTGCCACCTTTAGCTTTCCACTTTGATCACCTGTAAAATCAAGTGAGCTCAGCAGTAACAGGTCTTACGGGCTACAGGCCTTGATGACAGCTATTTCTATTTTTCAGCTTCTTGGTCACTGTATGATTGTTGCGAAGAAAGTAGCAGCCCAGAAGGGTATTGACCAGGAAGGCTATCGTGTGGTAATCAATAATGGTCAACATGGCTGTCAGTCTGTCTATCACATCCATTTGCACGTTTTAGGAGGGCGGAGGCTCAAGTTCCCTCCAGGATGACTAGGTAATATCTAATTTTAATATCTAGATGTCCACATTATCCTGTTCTTGATATGTTGTTCCAGAAGACACCCTTTGAAAACGTTCGCTTATGTGTATCAACTCCCCACTTACACTAACACCTCTTCAATTATAGGCCCGTATTCTACCTGAAAACAAAGAAAATTTAAGACAGAATAGATCAGGAAAATGAGTAATTTTAATTCTCAGAGGACAAAAATCTTGTACCAGAATAATTTAAAGAATATTGCGTTCTTTTTTACACTTTTCAAGGACTAAAGATGTAATTAGTCATATGTAATAACACCAAAGAAAATTTCTCATGGGAGTCCGAGGAAATGAAGGTCAAATTTCACAAGAATTATGAAAACACAGGTAAACTTCTGAAAATTTCATGTGTAAGATGCAATTTTGTGAAATTTGACATTTTGTGAAATTTTTTGTGGTGTTATTACAGATAACAAATTACATCTTCAGCCCTTTAAAAATGCAAAAAATAATGCAATATGCTCTTAATTATTCTGGTACAAGGTTTTTGTCCACTGATAATTAAAATATTATTACCCAGTTCCCTGGTGGATTCCGTCTTTAGTTAATACATCTGATATATAAGCCCCCCCTCCCCCTCACCCCTTTCTTCCAACTAGCTGTATTGAGGTGAAAACGCGTTATCATGATGTTTTGAAGCTTAATTAACAAGTCAGTCAATGCAATACTTATTTTGATCTGCACTACTATAGCTTGTTGTAAAGCGCATTTTCTATTTCTGTTTTAAGCCCCCTCCGGATATAAGCCCCTCTGTTTATAAACTCTCCTAAAACCCCTTAAGATGATGTGTAAGCTCAGGGCTTGTAAGCGGCAATTTATGGTAATTAGCCATACTCTTCAACAGAAGAGACGCAACGAGACTCCTGACTGGTGGCCATTTTCGACGCGTGGCATGTCAACATTCTTGTTGCTTAAGACTGCAATGAAGAAATGCCTTTTTGGACCCGAGCTAAATGTCTTTCTTGTCCACTGACCTTTAAGAGACAACGTTTGAAATCAGGTAATTGGCAATTGTCAAAGAAGAAATATGATAAAAAATAATCATTATTATTTAATTTTTCTAATTCAAACTCTATGGTCAGGCTATTTTTACTGCATGCCGTTTACAGACTGAAACGTTGGGAGCTTAAGCAAGGACAATGGCGACGACGACGAGAGCGCCTTAAAAGCAATTGGTCAAGGGTCTGTTTACATGGAGGATGAGCGAGGAGTTAGGTGAAATAATCCGCTAAGTTGAGGTTACCCGCCTGCGTATATAATCTTTCATTTTTCAAATGAGAGTGGAAGAACATTAACTGCCACAACGTGTCAGTTTTTTTGGGGGGGGGATGACGGGGTTAACGCAGGTTATTTTTTACCCCTCTTAATCGGGTTACACCACCTTCCTAGGGTCTATGTAAACAAGCCTGTAAGTCAGCAAAACCTCAACTTTACTCGTGCGTCACGTTTTTTGTACATTTCGTTTCCTTCGGCGCATGACTGCGACGTTTTAAAAAAACTCCACGTCTTGTTAAGGGTCGGTGAACACGAGACAAGGACTTTTTTTTCTTTTCCTGAACTTCGGAACAGCCTTTTAGAATTCAACTCCAGAAAAATTTGCCAACATTTGTCGAATTGAACGAGGTGGAATAAGTGCGATGAAGTTTAAAACAGCGCGAATTCATTTTTTGAGTGACGTTATCGCAGCTCCCTTTTTTAACGCTCCCTTTAACAAAAGTCATGGTCACCATGGGCGTAGCCCCTTCAGATAGAGGAGAGGAAGAGGGGAGCGAAGTGAAGAACGGGGCTGCCATCCCACCGCTGTTTTTTTTTTTTTTTTTTTTTTCTTTGCGTTCCCCCCCCCCCACTATCTGAACCCCTGAAATAGGTTTACTTTATAGAATTTACCAGCCTCTCAGTTTACTGATCAACATAATGTTCCATTTGGCAAAATTATTGCAGTAATCGATGAATAACGTCTTTTATGGCGAACTGTGCCCAGATCTTTATCTTATCTGAACTTTTGCGTAATATAAAATTTGCAGTGTGTATAACTCAGACCGACTTGCAGTGGCAAAGTTTTCTAAATAGGTACAACATAATAACGGAACAAGAATTAAAGCCCCGCGGATGAAAAACTGTATTTTATAGTATAAACAGGAATGAAATACTACAGGTCACCCAGGCTCTTTGATAGTACCAAAGTACCAATCCAGTTAAATTACAGTGTTTGTATGGGGTAAAAATACGATCCTAAAATTTGTAGGAAACACCAAATAAAAGTCAATGAAACTTACTCTGCAGTTAGTTGTTGTTGTCGTTCTTTCGTGATAATTTGCTCAAATTCACCCTCCATAAAATATAATACACAAGACAGGAGGAGGCACGAGATGACATCTCAGCCCCGGGCCCATCGTTCTTATTCCAACACCTTGTTTTCCACGAAATTCGATCTCCAACGTAACGCAAAGTAATCACGCTAGGCTTATAGAAATAGGACTGCCCCAGAGATGGAAACCATTGAAGCTTTCCCAGGTAGAGAAACGAATTCAACAGACATTGTGAAACTCGAAGAAGAGAATCCAAAAGACTGTAGACCACTGTGAAAAATCAACTCCACCCTGGGTTTCCTCGGTGGCTTACTGTACATCACTAGCCTAATGTAAACCTCCCCCCGCTGGTAACATTTGTTCTAGGGCAATCGCGATTCACCAAAGCAAAACCCGTGCACCAGCCAAAATAACGAAAAAAAACTAAAAGAAATATATAACAGCTGGTGCCTGCCATTTTGTAATTTAGAAACTCTCGAAAAAGTTCAACGTTTTCCATTTTTTTAAGAAAGGAAGCTTAATAAGTATAAGCGGTCAATAACAGTTGTTGTCTTGAGGTCTTTCTTTTCCCCTCCCTTTAGACCCGCGTCTCCTTTCGCGTTCGGCTCTCGCGAAACTTCGCGGCTTGCTCCCAGGCTAAAGCATGTTTATCATTTCTCAAGCATTTAGTTATTCGTCTAGCTTACGTTTTCAACAAACAGTAGTTTCTCTCTGTAGTATTAAAGTGAGTTTGTCTAAGTACTTCGTAGTAATAACGTTCGAAAACGTCGTAACGCCGTTGTTTTTTTTAAACGTTTTTAAAAATTTCTTAAAATATGTTTTTAAGAAAAGTCTTTTCGCCATTTTTTAAAGCTAATTTTTAAATTCTCTTTTTTTAAAACTAAATTGCTTAAAAATGGTTATAAAGCAGTTGAATGCAGGCTAATCAAATCAGTTTTCTCTCTCGCAATCGGCCAAAGCAATCCCCCTCTTTTTCGTAATTTCCAAAGCTCATGATTGTCTTTCGAAGGACCGTTTCGGTGCCAGTGGAAAGATGTAAAAGGGAAATCACCAGGAAGTGCGGAATCAAAACAGGCCAACTCTAAATGACTTCCTTCTGGTTCCTGGAAATACCCAAGGCGTGGAGTAGAGTTTGGAAAGGTTTTCGAATACAAAGAGGCGAAAAATGGGAACGGTGAATTCGAAAAGGAAATTCGTCTCGTTTAATGGACTTCCTATCAAACCGTCCTTTATTACTGTTGATTTGTCCTATAAAATTATGAATCACATGACTCCAAACGATTTCATAGAGCTTCCATTCCGTGTGGATCTAAAGCTTAAAGGAAGACTTCTACCATCGGTTACTTTAAAAAACTTTTATTGCATTGTTTTACTAATTTTACATTCACCCCTCGGATTGTTTCTTAGAAATTGAAATACTTGGCTTTTAATTGAAATTACAAACTCGAATACACTATTCAGTTAAACTCGCGCAGGTGAAATGCGGGAAGTGTGAACTGGTAATTTCCCGTTTTAACCTTAGGAAAAGATTGGACTCCCCTTATGAAAACTTTCTGGATCCACCTATGCAAGCTTAATCTGAAAATGAACATACCAATATTTCCCAAAGCAAAAAGAAATGATTAGTAAAAATATCTCTTCCTTATTTTGAGTCAGTCTAAGTATTTACTAGAGCTAAATCAGCAATGCCCATTGCTGAAGTTATACATTCAAAGAACTAATCTAAAGATAACTTGGCCTACTTTGACATTTTATTGGCACCGTTTTTATTGGTGGTCAACGTATATGGATGGCTTATTTTACCATATGTAATCTTTAAATTCTTTTCTTTTTTTTTTTTGTCTTTCTTGCTCTAACTTATTATTTCTTAATGTCTTATTTATCTGCGGGATTTTTTTCTGGGGTTTATTGATCTTTTAAAAGTCACAATCATTTTTTTACGGAGAATTGTCGGTCCTCCAGTTATTTCTAATGGTCCTTCGGTCCTGCGCATACAAAGTTCACTCATGTCCGAATTTCTCCAATATTTTCGTGACAGAGTATCTATAAGAGTAACAGGACAATACTAAGAAAAATAAAGATTACGCGCGTTTATTTCCCATATTTCAAAGACCTATATATATATTTTTAAAACTGAGCTATCGCAGAGCCTGTAGCTTATATCTAACCTACAGTTCGAGGTAAAAAAGGTTAAGCTTTTTCGTATGTAAATCAAGTCATCCTCGGTATATACTACGACTAAGGTTGGGCAACTGCCTAACTGAATTAAACAAATTTTAATGTTTACACGAATAAAAATGTGCTAGGCGTATCTTTTTTGTCGGCCTTTTATCGCTTGTTCCATTCTTGTACCCAAAAGCCAGGCATATGGCGCTGACCAAAAGAATCGCGCCTCATGCACTTGATCAGATAATGAAAATCAGTGGCAGTTCAATGGAAGTTCAATCCTTAGACTGCCAAAGGCCTTGACAGTTTTTACTTCTAATTTTCTAACAGTACCTGCAGCCACAAACCTATACTGATTGATGAAAAATGGTTAAATGTAAATGTTCTATTTATAGTTGAAGTGCACTTAGCTACCCAGCTACTTCACAGGCACCCCCACTCAAACAACCTGAGACAAATGATTTATTTCAAACGTAGCACGATTTAAGACCCAACTTGGCAGGAGGTAAACCAGTTTGTTATTTACAAGTGGGATCGAGGAGTCCAACTGAGGAGAACCGTTAAACCGATCTATCTAATGGTTATGGCGGGACTCGGGACCTCCGGATGCAGATTGAAACATGCGTCCTCCGGATTGCGAGTCTAACGCGCTCACCACATTCATGACCACACTGTCTTCTAGCACGTTTATAGAACAGCAACGTATATGTTGTGGTTATTTTATCCTTGGTTTAATTTTTTTTTCCCGCTTTATTTTTAGGCATGGTAATGTATGATAATGAGTTTGGAACAAAGGAAACTATAAAAATTAAGCCAAAGAAAAAAATGAACCACAATATATATACCAGAAACGCATGAGCGTACTCTTTAAATCTGACGTGGTGAATTTACTACAAAAAAATGACGCGAAAGATAAAATGGAGTTTGTTTCACCGAATATACTACCTGTGGCGTGAGAATGACAACGTAGGATGTATCTCGGTTCTTGTATCCCACGCTTGTCACGTTCCTTGTCGCTTGTACGTGTCATGACTGGGGTGTGGTAGTGGTGACGGCGGGTGGCGGGGGGCATCCTCCTATCTCTTCAGAAATTCACTCCCTCTGTATTACTGCTAAAAAGCATTAACTAAAAACATATAGAACAGATCCTATCAAGCCCTTCTTAGACTAGTTTTTCTAGTTCACCAATGACGTCTTCCATACTAGGCCTGTCTTGAGGATTGTCTTGTAAACATCTACGAATGAGAGCTCTTAGCACTTTGTTTTTCACCATGGCGACTTGCTCAGCACGCCTGTCAGGATTTGGTAGTTTCCCGATGCAAATCTCGCAGATGAGAACACCAAAACTGTACACATCAACCTGAAGACGAAAAATAGACGATAACAATAAAAAATATTTGTACATTTCAGTTCCATGTCAATACTTATCACCTTATGTATCATTTGACTCCTTTGTACGCACAAAACACTTTCAAGTTACTATAATCCTAGGGCATAGGTCTTATTCCTAAAGAGGACTCTGGTTATTGTAAAACCACAAATAAATGTTTTATATACCATTCTTTATTCCACCCAGCACTCGACGACGGAACTTGACCACTAAAATCTTTCACTGTTTACCCAAATACTCACATATTCGGTCTTTTGGTCTAGACTGTCTACCAAGAGGTGGGTGGGGGTGGTGGGGGTTACTCAGCAAAGTTTTTTACCGGCGACTCCCCCCAGAGGTAGTGCGATTATCGCAGGCGAGACGAAGAGTGGAGGCCAATGACAACGTTCAAGGACGTATTATTTAATGATTCTAGATGATTAGACGATCAAGGCCAAAGGTCACTGACTTATCACACAATACATCAGAGGACGATATATCAGTCGGGCGTGGTTACTAAAGAAGAAAATTAAGGGATAATCCCACAGAGGTCCAACCTCTTTTTCTTTTATATACCTTTTTGACAGAAATAAGTATCCCCAAATCACAAAACCACAACGTTTTCTCTACTGTTTCACAGCCATAAAATGCATTTTTTAGCCCTTCTAAATGTTCTAAATTAGCCTGTGAACATGCTCTCTGTTTGGAGAATAAATTTAGCAGACGACATACCTTCACAGTCTGTTTTTTAGTAAGTGCTTCAGGAGCACTGTATACTGCAGCACCTGGACAAACTGACAAGGTATGCTGCATGAAATTAGCAGCACCATAATCCGACACTTTGCCTCGCCATTGGTCCGCTTGTCGCCATAGCAACACATTGGCACTGCTGATATCGCGATGGATGATGGGGCGTGGTTTCTTTTGGTGCAGGTAATTTAATGCACGAGCCACATCCAGAGAAATAACGGCCACTTCAGCTATAGAGAGAGATCGCTGCTCCAGCAATTTTCGCAAACTCGTTTCCATGAGCTCTGTCACGAACAAAGGACTTCCTTCATCGTTTGTTGCTCCGATGAATTGCAACAAACAAGGATGGCGGCATTTTGAAGCAATGCTCATTTCCCGCTCAAACATTTCTCTGTTATGAGAGGAAAGGTTCAGAAGCACCTCGTAAATCTGTTTCACGGCAACAGTGCAGCCACAATACTTGCCTTCGACAACACTTCCCCAGCCTCCTTTACCAATGCATTTCTCTGTCAGCTGAATTTGATCACGTGAAATGACCCAGTCAGGTGACTGTTGGCGTGGACGTTCACTTAACGCTTGTTGAGCTGTTGAAAGAGATACTTCCAGTTCATTCACTTCTTGTTCTTTTGCCCTTAGTCTTTCCTCTAAGGAGGTATTTTCTTCAACTTTTTCTTGAAGTTGCCCTTGCAAATTTGTCAACTGTTGCGTCAACTCTCTCAGTTGTCCTTCTCTCTCTCTAAGTTGTCCTTGAATATTTGACAGCTGTTGTGTCATTTCTCTCAATTGTCCATCTTTCTCCGGTAGTTGTCTTTCAACATTTGTCAACTGCAATGTCCTCTCTCTCAGCTGTTCATCTCTCTCTCTTAGTTGCCCTTGAACATTTGTAAACTGTTGTGTCATCTGCCTCAATTGTCCCTCACTCCCCTGTAGTTGCCCTTGAACATTTGTCAGTTGTTGTGTCATCTGCCTCAGTTGTCCGTCTCTCTGTCTTAGTTGCTCTTGGACACTTTCCAACTGCTGTCTCAACTCCATCAATTGTCCTTAAAGAAATAAACATAAAAGGATGCCATTTTCTGCTTTTTGTCTCTCAGCATAATAAAGAGACAATTTTCTTCGGTCGCACGCTCAGTGACCTTAGTGTAACATCTAGAGAGGTTCAAACTTTTAGAGACTGAATCTTCTATGGTTGCCTCATTCTAAAGGGGGATTCCTCTCAATTTAAATTTACTTATTTTAATTTCAGACCCAAGGTATTTGATCTCAACATGATAATGTACCTGGTATGTTGCTTGAAATATTTTTTACTACCCTATAGGATATTCAGTCTCTCCTCCTGCTGTTCTCTTGGTTACACTCATGAGCTGGCCTTATTTTGCTTTTATTTTTATTTTATTTTGCTTGGCTGTGTAGGCGCGTGATGCGGTTCCAGTCGAGACCCACAAATTGGCCCTTGCTCACCATAGAGTCTCCAGTAGCTCAAGTGGTTAGAGCATCCGACTAGATCACGGAGGGTCGTGGGTTCAAATCCCACCTGGGACTCGGATTTTTTTCCGAGTCCTCCTCAAATTAATATCATGTTGTTGTTATTTACAAAAAAACTACATTTATTTACTTTTTGTTCATCATACATGTATTATGTCCATCACTATGAGAACAGTCCAAATATTGTCTGGGGCCATTGGCCCCAGTCTCTCTGTTTAAAACACACTCTCTCCTTTCACCTCACCTAAAATGGCGCCTAACGGCTCATCAGTGGAGCTCAATGATCCTGGGTACAATTATTTGTTTTAACCAATTATTCCCTTGATTAGATTCTCTTATATACCTGATATTTCCCTTGTTTTAGTCTCCTTTTGAGTGTTTTCATTAAGGTCTTTTTCACTTCCAGGAACTAATCCTCCTCCTTTTTTCCTCTTTTCATTTCCACCTCCGATTTTTCCAGCCTTTGAGAATACGGAAAGACATGCCTCCTCAGATGATACCAAAGTGATTTAGTACAATAAACTTACTATATCCTAAACTATTTAACCTGTTTTTTTTATTAGCAGCCTCTAAACCTTGATCTGTCATAAATCCGTCACGAAAACTTTACTTGTGTAGCCTGGTAACCAGGCTCTCTGTTTAGTGGAAGGGGGGGAAAAAATGGCAGAGACGTTGTGAGGGGAAAAATGAAACAGGAAATCGGGAAAACTCCCTTTCCTGCCGCAGGCGAAAGATATTTACAAAAATGTGTTAGTGATAGCCTGACGTTTTTCAGTTTAATTTGTTCTTTGAACTTCTTATTTGGAAAACGTTGAATTCAGTGTGAATTCTTTTTCGCAAATGTCAATCGAACAGTTCATAACAGTTCTTAGTCAGTAAATTGACCGGAGAAACAATTGGGCCGCTTTAAAACTACACGTGCCCCCGCTTGTTATATTGTCGGGGAAAGAAATAGGTGATGCTTAACTTGATTATTTTGTGATTAAATATTAATTAGCAATTGACATTTGTAGCGCAAAAGTTAGATTTCGTGACATTAGATTTCACAATAATGTATACAAAGTCCGAGTATATCTACGATATAAAATGATGTAACTGCATGCATTTTCTTAGGCTAAATAAGGTGAAAGAACGTGCGATTTTGTAATAGACTCTTAATTTAGATACATTACAATGGGAACTTTTACTGTGCATATGATTAATGTAAAAATACTGCCTTACGCAAGGATAGTAGAAAAACCACTGTATACTTAGAATGTTTTAGTTGAGTTGATCGATTCGTTGATCGTTGATCGTTTAGTTACCTAGATCGTTGTGTTACGAACGTTGAATATGTGAGAATTGTACATCGCAGTAGATTGTTGGATTGCATTAAATCGTGTTGTTACATCGAAAGATACAGTCCTCTTGATTTGTTTGAACCAGCGGAGCGGGGTTAAAAGAATTCCGCAACATATATCATATAGCATAATCTATGAGCCTTCTGTACATGCCACTATCAATAATTAAATGGATCGTTTCATTCAAACAGAGACGGCTTTGGAAATTCAGCCGGTTCCAGGCGTTCAGATAGGGACGGGCAGACAAGCGTGACGTATTATCATAAACACAACATACGGACACGGAAGTAAGTACTCTCTCATTTCGTGACAAAGAACTGAATGATTTTACGAAATAGTAATATGTTAATGTTACTTACATCTCCGACGACGACGTTCATGGCACTGAGTCCTCTTTTCTCGGACAGGATCATACGAGCCGCGTCAGTTTCACAGCTGTCCAGTGGTGTTTGACCATTTTTGTTTTCTAGCTTTGGATCTGCACCGATATCTAAGAACAACAGCAGCATTTCTCTCAAAATCTCGACATCTTTAGGCTCAGCAGGTTTAAACTTCACAGCTAGATGGAGAGGTGTGTTTCCCTCGGTGTTAACGGCATTTACATCCCCCCCTGCATGTAAAATTAACTTCATGGTCTCAACACAGGGAAGCTTGCACACACTTCGCACATTGCCTTCTTTAATTGGAGTTTCGTGCCACGCAGCTAAGTGCAGTAGAGTATTTCCATCACTGCAACTAAGGTTTAAACGTAGGAATCTTTGAAGAAAGTCAGTCATGTTGGCATTTTGAACTTTAACTTTGGTGTATATCATCAAAAGATAGAGAGCATAATAAAGCGTTTTTTCTTGTTCCTCGCTTTCATGTCCCTCTTGTAATTTTTCTCTCCGTTTCTCACTTGCAGCAACTAGAAGTTCGAATGCGTCTTCAATGAAGTTTGGTCTTAAGAGTATTCTGTTTTGTAGCATTTCTCCAAATACAGATAAGTAGGATTCAAGATCTCCTATTATTGAATCATCGTTGTTCATGGATTTCTCCATCGCTCTTTGCCACAAACCAAAGCAAAGCTCGTACTGCCCAGAGTCAGCTAAAACAGCTCCCCGGTATCTGATGTTGTAAAGAACTGCTGGATTGTCAGGCCCAAGGATTCTCTCTCTGATTATAAGTCCTTCCAGGCCGATAGCATGATCATCACCTTCTAACAGAGCAAGTTCCTCTAGAGTTTGACTCTCTTTTCTATTTTGATAAGCTTCCACAGGTTCAATTTTCTTTTTAAGCAATGGATGTGCCGGGTCTTCATATCTCTCCTCCATTCCACGTTTCATGTAACTAAACGCTTTATTAATGTCACGAGATTTATAATTAGCAATGGTGGCACCAAGAAGTTCAAGAGCATTAATTCTCTGTTCCTTTGCACATTCCGGTCTTTTGATAAAATACTCGACGATTTCAATGGAACATTTATCGCAGGCAAAAAGAAGTGGTGTTAAACCTTGATTATTTGGCAGTTGCGATGCTCCAACAGCCAAAAGTTGACTGACAATCTCCAAGTGGCTCCCTTCAGCAGCGCTGTGAAGTGCAGTGTCGCCATCTTTGTATCGCTGATCCACAAAGGCGCCTTTGTTAATAAGATAGGTAACAACACTTAAGTGGCCACGGTAGCACGCTACGTCTAGTGGGGTGCTCTCATAGTAATTTTGTGCATTCACATCTGCTCTGCTCTCAACCAAACATCTCACTATGTCAAGGTATCCGTCGTACGCAGCAGCCTTCAAAGGAGTCCCACCGGTCGATATTCTGCCGTCAACATCTGCATTTTGTTCGATTAACAGTTTCACGACATTAAGATGACCAGTAGCAGCAGCGGCCCATAAAGGTGTACAACCCTCTATAACATCGTTCTCTATCTTAAGCGTTCCTCGAGCCTCGATGTCTGCTCCATATCGCAGAAGAATCTTCACAGAATTCAGGTGTCCATTGCGAGCAGCGATGATGAGAGGAGCGGCAATCTGCCATCTTTAGTTTTTGTTTCCAAAGCGGTTTTTCTTTGTTCAGTTTTCAGCCGCTCTAACAGATCAGCCAGATCAGAAGAACCGTCACGGGCAGCTTGAAAAACTTTAGTTATACATTCGCTAACGGACAGGTTATCACCCATTTTACATAAAGCTTCAGTTAAGCCTCTAGTTTGAATTTACTAGGTTTGTGAAAGACACACATGATACGCTCGGGTAACCACAGGCGGCCCAAACGCACGAAAGGAGTCAGAGCGGTTACGCAATAAAGCCAAAAAAACAGTAAAACGACAAACAGACACCAAAACGCAGTGGAATAGATTGCAGGTAAGACTTTTTTATTCATTTCATTTAAGAAAAAGTAAGGTTTAGCGTTATTTAGCGTTCCCAGATCTCAGTAATATATTTCTCATACAAACTTATATTTTCAACTGTCGCCTGTAACGCGACACCGGCGCGTCACCTATGTTATGTAAATTACATTACAACCTTCTCTCGCAACGTGAGTTTGGGGCACCTGTGGTCCGATGTACTTCGACACTCTTTTGCGTTACGTGTTATCAGTGACATTCCGTGGAGCAGTTGTTTTATTGAAAGTTATGGAACAAAATTTTAACGACACTCGTTAAGCGCAGAAGAAGTTATAAGGTGCGTATAACTGTATACATATAAACACTTGGAGAGTTTGCCAGACACGAGTTCACAAATCTTTCATTGGAAACCTTGCCAGACACTCTTTCTCTCTCTTTGACCGGAATAAGACTAGGCCCCAAACAAGCGAGACGAGTGAACAACGGCTAGCTTCTCACTAGCAGAACGATTGACGATTACAGAAATTCGCCGACAATCAAATTCTGTGCTGACTTATTCCTTGCTCAGAATGCGCGAGTGTGAATTGATCAAACGTCCTTTTAATCTCTAAGGCTTCCTTTCCGGCAAATAAAATGAACTGAATGTAAAAAGTGAAAGAGAAATAGAGAAAAATTCAACTTCTAATTAAATCTTTTCTTATGGTTTAGAATAAACTATTCTCGAAACTGAGAATGTTTTGATCAAAGCTTAGCCTGCGTAGCATGGCGGTTTTGGTTGGGTGAGGGCAGAGAAACCGCGAGGAGATTGGGGCGGAAGCAACTTGAAAAACCGCCTGCACGGACGGGGGGCTTTTTTGAGTCGGTCCGCACGCCAGCGTACGGATCGTTCCGATTGGTTCGGAATGTTCGCCTGTCAATCAAATATTTTGGTAATCTCCCATGGGAGAGTTTCGAGGGACTGAACAAATCATCTCCGCAACACAAAATCAAAATATCTAAGAAGCGTTGACCGGAGTGTCGTCGCTCTTGAATATTTGACGGGAAAACAGGGCAATTGTATTGAAGCCTAAACAGGAAATGGCCCTCTACAGTCTTCTTCAAAGGAGAGATGTCATGGAAATTTTGTCAACAAGATTTGGCAAGAGCATGATCTTTACTGGCTTTGCTATGGCCAAAGAAGAAATATCCTCATCGAAAACCTGTATGATCACAATTTGCCCTCTAAAAAGTAATATCGACGACCAGATATCTGAAATGTTGTCGCTGAGCTGTAAAGCAATGGACCTTATGACAGAAACAGTAAATTTCAGTGCTTCGAGAAAGTTCACCTCAATTTTCTCTATTACTCGGTGTTAGAGAATAACGCACTCCAGCGCAATACATCGAACGGTGTCCGCGATTGTGGTCGATGAATCGCATACGGTAGAAGAAAGACGCACAACGTAATTCTCCATACTTTTTTGCTTGGTGTAGCTTAAGTTTAAGCTACAGCTCAAATCTGAAGATCGCGCTATACGTAAAAATACAACATCCTGCAAACAACTCTTAAAAAGCCGGGCCCAGCGTCAAAACATTCACGGACAAAGCAGTGACAAAGAAACTACAAACCAAGGCTCCTTGGTTTGTAGTTGTCCAGATCCAGGCATTTTAGTCGGAAAAGACCAAAGAAACTAAAATATTTATTTAGCCGTAATAAAAAGCTTTAGGCTTTAAGAGTGGTCAAAGAAATTACTGCTTTACAACTGCAACTGAGATCAACAAATTCTAATTAGCGAAAATAACATTAACCACAGGAAATAATTACTCAATACGGATTAAACAAACCAACTCCATGACCTCTAAATAAATGTAAGACTTAGTGCAGCAAAAATAAGATCTACTCAGTCAAGTCTAGAACGCAATGCAGTCACCAATGGGCGAGATAGCCACAAAGAAAAAATCCGTGTTTGTTCAAGCAAACTCCAATTCCGGCCAAGGTCACGTTTTACACTATATCACGAGCTTTTGTGTCGTTTTTAGGCTGTCAACACTTTACTTCTGATTGGCTGGGAAAACTGAAACCAAACAAGTTGTCAACAGGATGTCAAAATGAGTTGAAGGGGGCGGCAGTTGAAAAGGCCACGAATCCGGGCAGGCGGTTTTTATTTTTCTCGCGGCTTCGCCGCTCGTTCTCGCGCGCTTCGCGCGCGAATTTCGCCGCTACGCCGCTCCTGCGCCCGGCTCAACAAAACCGCCATGCTACGCAGGCTAATCAAAGCTGTGTAAATCGACCTGAAACTGTGCATGGAACCTTGCGTTTCCTGTATTTATGTCACCTATTGTATGGAATATGTGTGAAAATCTTCCTCATGAATCGGTATATTTCAAAGAGCTACACAACGAGCATAGGCGTACGGGCCGGGGGGGCGAGGGGGGCTGCAGCCCCCCCAAAGTTTGGGCAACTCAGATTTTTTGGGCAGCAAGAGAAAACTTGGGCAAAGCCAGTTTTTAAAGACGTTTCCATGTTTTTTATTATTATTATTATATTTTGAAGACATAAATATTTTCTATTTTAACCAGAAGTGGGCGTAATAATTCAGTTACGTTCACACGAGACTGTGGTTGCCTAGCACGTGATGAGTTTCTGGTTATAAGGGAAGGGTATCATATGCTGATTTTTTGTTGTTGTTGTTGTTGGGCACTGTACTTCACTGTACTAGCTGGAGTGGGCTATTTCCAGTCATGAATTGATTAGAATAAACTTCCGCATAACTTTCTAGAATCACCTCCCCTCCTAGAATAGTGTGTGGCAGAACACGCTTCGGCAATGGGTCTGAAAGTGAAGTGGCTGACTAATTCTCAGTTTGAATTACGAGAAGAATCATAATTTTCTTAAAAAAATCTATCAAGGGTTTAAAAATTATTCACTAATTTGTTTAAGTAGACCGAAATGTTTACGAAACCCCTAACAAGATCGAGCGCTAATCAAATCCTTCCTTGGCAGGAGCTATCTCAGTCCATGATCTTTCATACACGTTTTTAATAAGATTGAAACTCCGTTTTCTAAACATCAAGATTTTCCTTTTTTACCTTATTTCTAACAATAAAAACTTCATCCCAAAATATCTCGACAACACTCTTACAGTTCCGTTTTAACTTCACGAACATCGAAGCGACTATTGGAGGAAAGAGCTTCCCTGAACGATTTTGTAAGAACAGTTCCCAGTGAGAAATATTGCTGCAAGTATAATAGGTAATGGCGTCATTTCGTTGCTATGACAGCTCCGATGTCATTGCAACCCTGATCATGACAAATTTCCCTCTTTATCTAATAGAACTGTGGTGGCAATTTTTTCCAAATGCTTGTTTGTGGCGACGTAGTTTATGCTCAAACTTGGCAGGTATTGACTCTAAAAAACTGTATCGAGCCACTTTCATATGCCAGTACGGCCTATTTTGTTGCATGGCCCTAGTTTCCTTTCGACTGTTTTGTAAAAATTTGGGCAACTTGCAAGAATTTTTTGGGCAAATGGATTACCGCCCCCCCTGGCAAAAAATTGCCCGTACGCCTATGAACAAGAATGTTATTGACCCACAATATACAGAGCGGGGGCAGCTGTAGTGTCAACTATCACTAGTTTAACTAAATTTATTTGTCAAACCTGGCCCCGGCAGTCATGAGAAACATGAGTACTTAAATGTACAGTTCTAACGAAGAGAAGCTTGTAAGAAAACAAAAGTGTTCCATGTGAAACAAGCAATTCTCACCACACTAAAAAGGATTAGATTACACGAGGAGATAAGGAAAGCTTTATAAGAATATACAGTCGACTCCCGATAACTCGAACCTTCAAGGGAAGTCGAAAAAAGGTTCGAGTTATCGGGAGTTCGAAGAAAATAGCCGAGAGTAAGGTAAAAAACAGTTTTTACTGCACAGTGGACATTTTAATCACCTTTAATTGTAGAAATGTCAAGTGAAAATTAAAAGATACTTCTAGATTATACATCAGAACGTAACGCGAC